TCCATTTCCGTAATCGATACTTGTAATCGATGTATCCGAATACTAATGTCGCAGTTTCTGACGTACCGTCCGATTCACTAAAACATCTGCGTCCCATCCATCAAAGTTGACAGCTCGTCTGAAACTTCTCGTACCGTTTCCCAAAATAGCACGCGTTGGCTTTGAGATTGTTATCAGACCGATCCAATAAGCCACCTGTTATGGTTGCGTCAGATTTCATACTGCGTCGCGGCTTCTCGTTCGTTATCATTTGTAACTGGTGGTTAGGCCTACCCCAGTTACATATATATATATATATATGCCTACATAAGCCTATAATTTAAATGCATGCCACATACGCGAACATGTATGTGTATAAGCTTTAATCACTGCAGATGTAATAGTAACTATGTTTATCTATAGTCTGTTAATAATATAGATGGATGTAGCATTGGTTTCTCTAAAGTTAGCACGTTCACGTCATGGTGTCACCCCCACCCCTTTGTAATAATTGTTGATTTGTACTTTAAAGACTATTTAATTTAAATTAATCATTAATGGAACTGGCATAAAAAGCATTTTTCTTGTTACATTTTGCTATTTTTGCCTTGTTGTCACCCTTCTAATTGGTGTCACCCTGTGCGGTCCGCCCCCGCCCCGCCCTCGCTACGCCTCTGGCCCAGGGGATATAAAGTCACCTAGCTCAGTGTTTAAAGGTAAACGATTTACCTGTCTAACCTATTGTGCCGAGTTACCTGTTGTTTGTGACATCACAGGGGTGTGGGACTGTGTACCTACGTTTGTGTCACGTGATAAAATAAATACGTCGGTTGTAACTAGGTGTCAAAATAGTTAAACTGTCACTTGTCGTCATAAAAAAATGTAGGGGATTGGGGCGGGGGGGGGGGGGGCACTGGAGTGTCTTGAACCTGAGTACCTGTATACATCTTTTGAACGTTACAAATTACACTTTCCGTCATATAGGAATGTTTTAATAACACCATAACTTTTTACTTTTAATTTACGTTGTTCAAACATCTGCTACTCCTGTGTTGAAAGTGATTAAAAAATAAACTTAACATGTTCCTCACACGTTTGATTTACTCATTTCATTCTAATTTTATTTTCGTAGACATGGTGGTGCTGTTTGTCACACTACATTCTGTCTATGCCCCACCATCTAAGACTCGATGCTGTCACTTGTCACATCACATTCTGTCAATGCTCCACCACCTAAATGACAGTTCAGTAAATACCCCCTCCACCATAGATATTGTATCGTTACACTTCCTTACATAAATCCAGACCTAAACCCCCAAATGAAGTCTCAAAATTGGGTTTAAAAAATCTAACAAAAAAAGCACATGCTTTTCATAATTTGTATCATTAGCTTTATATAAATCCTTTCACCCCCCCCCCCCTCCCCTTTTATAGCACATGATGAATAACGTCAAAACCTTGTCCACTACCCCTTGTCCACTAGACATTATAAATCTTTTCACCCTCCCCCCCCTCCCCCGCCCCGATGTTTGATGTCTTTTCAGAACGACCCCCTTTTATGGGTGGTAGAAGAAAGTTCTAGGCTCAGTAAACCAGCCAAAGATGCTTTGGGTTTGATCTAGACATAGGCGTGGTCGTGTTAAAACCGGTTAGGTGGGCTGGGTGAGAGGGGGGGGGCGTTAATCCACTGCACAAACACACTGCGTCTATTTAAGACGGCTTAGATCTTGTGTGCATGGTTAAGTCGCTTACTGGGATGCTGTGGGTGCAGGTCGTACAAAGTACACCCTGGGGGGGGGGGGGGGGGTAGGCCCTACACATAAAAAAATAGGAAAAGTACACATATGATAGAGGTAAACATTCAACACGAACTGGTTTTCTAACTAATTGTGGCTAAATATACCCGTTGGCGTCTAGGTTTAATAAAGAAAAAGCGCTAGCTGCATGTTTTTTTTGTAGATCTACATGTTAAGGATCGAACGATGGTGACGCGTCACTTTTTTTACGACAAATTTTATAGTACACCTGCTATCGTCACTCGCCGTTACAAAGTTTCATTCGAAATTTACTTTATTATTTTGTCGCCAGGATAAGGTAGTCTAATGTTTATATGGTGCTTGCTGATTTTTAGTCAGTAGTATGCAGGAATTGGCCTTTGGGGAGGGGTTACGCCTATATATATATATATATATATATATATATATATATATATATATATATATATATATATATATATATATATATATATATCGTTATATATATATATATATCGTTATATATATATATATCGTTATATATATATATATATATCGTTATATATATATATATCGTTATATATATATATATCGTTATATATATATATATATATATATATATATATATATATATATATATGCCTAGTTGCTATATATAGTTATTATTATTACAGTTACCATATATAGTTACTTTTCTATTTATAGCCCACCTCCCCCACTCACCTACTAACCCAAACTAGATCCGCTTATGGAAAAAAGCGTTGCTATAAAACTTTTAACCGATGTGTTATTGATTTCTTTATTATTGCCTTCGTTTCTAGGCTATACTAAAGGCTAATATCAAAACTAACTTTTAGAAGAAGGAAGAAAATATCGCTTTGCAACACGTGGCCCATAAAACTAATTACTTTATTGTTTGTTTCTGAGGTTGACGCGTGTAAAATATTAACTGGTAGCCCAACGACTACTTTGCTAGCGTTAATATTGATATACAAGCTCGGCTAAATGTTAGGTGAATACAATGAATAGAAGTAATGAGCAGGACGAAAATGCTTTGTGTAGAGGGATCTCGAAGTTGGGTGTTTCCCGGTCTATTATAGGCTTACTTTGTTGTTTCTTTGGTGGGATTGGGGTTAGTAACGCCAGTCAAACCGGTGGGGCGTCTGTGAACTGAAATTGGCGGGTGTCTAGTGTCAGGACAGCAGCACTAGACAACTTGTGCAAGGGCATAGAGGTTTTTATTTCGTTGGTCGGGGAAGACCAGCTCATTTCAATTTACATTGCCTTCGCTTCATATTTCAACGCCTAAAAATAGTCTTTTTTATCCCTCTCGCGTATAATTATATCACTGAATGGGGGGGGGGGGGGTCAAAATGACGTTGGCGGTGTTCTAGCCCAACCTCTTACACCCCCTTCCTTAGCTGTTGACGAACAATATTTACACACAAAGATTCATTACAAAAAAATAGTCATTAATTTGCCTAACTCCTGCTGTAAATATTTATTGATCAGAGTTAGCGAATACTGGTTGTCGTTTGTTTTTTTTGTTTTTTTTTTACTTTTGCTTAACTGTTTCCACAAAGCCATCAATGCCGTCTGTTGCAACGCCATACACATTACATATGATTGTAGCAGCTGGACTTTTCAAATAGGCTTAGCGTTTATTTTCTTTACAGGCTTTCATTCAAGATTAGATTTAACTCTCCTTAGTTTTAAATATTCAACAAGGGATCGTGCATTAAATAAACATGTAAATGAAGGTTTAGGGAAAATATGATAAAAAGTAAGACAATCTAGCATTTGCTATTTAAAAAAAAACATTTTCGTTTAAGAAAGCGCATGTGTTATCAGTATCACATTTACGGGAGGAGGGGGGGGGGGGGGATGAATGATTTTTCTTACAACTGCGTGAAAACGACGAATAGATCAATTAATTATTGACTTGGGTATGATTGATGATAGTTCATGGTGATAATAATGGCAGTTATGTCCCTTAACTTGGTAGGTTATCCAAAGCATATAAAAATCTTTTGTAGATTACTATCTATTTAAGTGTAATTTTTTAATAAGTTGTGTAGGTGCATTATTATAATTGTATTTTCTAAAGAGCTTGAAATTATTTAATCATTTGAAAGATAATTTAAAATGTTTTAAAAGTGGCTCAAGTCTGAAGGTATAACTGTATTTTATGATGAACAAAAATGTGTTGCAGGTAGTGATTCCTGTTGTTACCTGGTGTAACTTACAGGTGAATGGCAAGCTTTGACAAATGCATGACATAACCTGTCATGTTAATATCTACTAAATGACTCGTTCAGTAAATGACATGTCTTCAAAAGGCATGACAGGTCTTGTTGACTTCATGGATTGTCTTGTAAATAATATTTCTTATCACAAATATTATCTGTATTAAAAAAGGAAATTTTTTAAAATTAAATAAAGAATTTGTATTTAATATGAAACATATCAAAATAACATTATCTGTATGAATAAAGGAATGTATTGTCTAATATATGTCATATTTTACAAATGCCACATGAGAAATACATGACCTGCAAGATACATGAAACAACACCTAATAACAGTACAGTACTTTAGTAATAAAAACAAATTATTTTTTAAAAACATGGACTGTTGTGAGTATGTAGTATGTGACAAATTGTCTGTCACATCATACCCAAGATGAACTGCTGTTATAATAAACAACATACAAAACTTGATAGACAACATACACATGATCAAGCAGGTGTACGAAAAGATATAAAAAAGTAAAGAATTTTCTTTAGACCTAACATTACTAACAATCCATTGGGCAGATGAAATAGATCATGTATCTTGACCTCAGCATATGAAATATGAAGGGAAGGTGTGGTCTGCACTTTACCCAGCCACCATTACTTTCCCTAACATGAGTTATATACCTATCAGAGCTATGCGGTGGACCCGGATTCAAACTCAAGACTGTGGTAAACAGCCTAACCCTCTGCCTCAGGCCAAGCCGTGCTACATGAAAAGATATAAATGATCTGTATTTAATAATTAACTCAAGATAACACGCATGATGCCTAGTGGTGTATGTGAACAACACAGCGATAAATCTGGCTGACCTAATGACACTTGCAGCCAATGAAAGAAGTTTTATAAGCCAGTCTTTGTCTGATTTAACCCATGCAGATTCAAAAACATTTTTTTTAAACAAAAACTCTATTTACAGAAGAAGACACACAAAAATAACTATTTTACCTGTTTAATTAAGAATAACACATCCTTGTTAACATTCATCATTTGATCAAAATATTTATTAACAAGAGACATTTTATAAAAATGTTTATATACAAATTTGAAAAACAAAAATTTCACATTGTTTAAAGTAAAATGCATCAGATTTGGTCCTCTCATAAAACCTGTATCCACAAACAATCCATTTTGTTCTACCACAGTAAATCCTGGAGCAAAGCACTTGCAGTTTGTCTTTGTGGGAGTACCAGCTGAGGTTATTCCAATATTAATTTAGTCAGATTTAAAATGTTCTGTTTACACTTTTCACAGATCAAGCCTTCCAAAGATTAAAACCTGCTAAATAATCCAGTCTGTACAGGTGTCTCAGTAGTAACATATATACATAATTTATTTCATCTACGACAATCATCTGTTTAATTTTTTCAAGAGTGAAATATATTTTTTCATGTTGGTGTGCTCTTCCAGATTTTCTGGCTGTATGGGTATACTATTCCCACACCCCACAGCTGGACATCTGAAACAAAACAACAACAAAATGTTTAACTCTTCAAAGCAACTCTAAGCAGAATAAAATAACCTCTAAAATGTATCCAAAAAATAGTAGTATTAACTGTTATACATCTTTGAGTCACTATTTCAACTACAATAAGTATAAAACTATTAAAACTGTTTATAACCAACAAGATTTTACACATAAATTTATAGAGATATGGACATGTAGATGTATGATACAAATATAGTGATAATAATAGCTCTCAAGTCACATACTTAAAAAGCATCAAATAATTGAGTTAAAGTAGTTAACAGAGAAAACAAAATAGACAATGTGAGGAATTGAAAACTGAAAACAACAGAAAATAAGATATACAAATACAAAAGACATAACTTGGGACAGAAAATAAGGTAAAAAATAACTTTTAATAAGATAATCAAAAAATAGAAAGATGTAAGATAGAAAATAAGTCAAACAAAAGGTAGACAAAACGTGACCAACTTGGCTTTAGCTTTTCTCTGCTTGATGTAGTCCATGATTCCCTCCCTGTCGTAGACATGCTTGCATATGGTATTCCTCACAGGGTTGACCATTGTCTGACCAGTGTACGGACACTTAATGTTGACTTCAACTTGCATCATGGCTATGTCATCATCATTCTGCGAGGGCACTAGCGATGTTTTTAGTGCAGAGAGTTGCTCTTCTATTCAATGATAAAATTCATTTTCTGTTACTCAGTTTTCTGAGGCTTTTTTAGAAGTCTTAGCATAAAAGAAGCAAGAATAAAACTGTACCAAAAAAATTACAATTAAAATAACATAATTTTTTTTAAATAGAGGCTTTGTTCTTAAAAAATCATGTTCAACACAGAAGAGTTTTTTTTAAATCATACAGTGATCTTTTAACAAACATTTTATCTGAAAAAATAAGGATGGTACCTGTTATAATGCTATAGTAATAAATCTAGTTATGATGCTATAAACAGACTTAAGTACTGCTAAAATCTGAACATAAAAAAAAGGATTTACTGCCATCCAAGATTTCTAAATAGCAACTTAACATATTTATTTCCAAGTTTGTAAACAAAAATAAGTTGTACCCAAAGTTCCATCGTCATTCATAGCCTCTTCCAGTTCCTTAAATTTAGCATGTGTTTTGTAATTAGACTGGTCATTCTTCTCAAGCTCCGACAACTTCTTCTGGAACTCTTCACTCAGATTTAGACCAATGCTTGATTTACTTCCCTGTCAAAGGTTTATCAATACTTTTTAGAGATTGACTTAAGAGTACTAGCAACAGTATACCACATTTTAAACTTTTATATTTGAATCATGAAACATCCCAAGCCACTACTCCAGCAGAAACAGACAACTTCAAGACTAAACAAAATAGCTCAGCATTATCACCCCAAGACAAGTTAGTTTAAAGCATATCTTAATAGTTATACATATAATAATATGCGGTAAACATTTTAAAATCTTTTAACAATAAAAAAAAAACTTCTTATAAAGTCTTTTGAAGAGCAGAAATCTAACACTAAATGAAAAACAAAAATCTATCAACTCTAAATTTCGGTTCAGAGCATTAATGTAAGTAAGCTCTAAAAATTTTAGCCCATAATTTTAAGGAATGCGTAGATAAAAGGTGAATAAAATGCTTAAGATCATCAATGCAAACCTGGTCAGCCGGAGGTAAAGAAAACAGTTTATAAAGTCTGCTATTAATCAAAGTTTAATTGCAACTGAACCTAAGTACTTTTCTGTTTTTTTTAATGGGAGAGTTGTTAGTTTTCAGAGGGAAAAACATAATAATGTTTAGGAGTTGGTCAGAATCAAGGCTTGAGTAAAAATCCTTATGTGCACAAAACTCAGATGGTCAGCTGGTGACATTCAGGTATCTGTTTAGAGGGGGAGTGACCCCCACCCAACCCCCTAACAAAAAATATATATAATTTATATAGAAAAGTCATACTTTAACTTATGTGTAACCAGGAAAAATGTCTGAAAGAAACACTGGCTACTTCAACAGCTAAATTGCCATTACATGTGAAAAAGTACTTTTTAAATAGTGTTAGAGAAGAAAAATAAAAAAAAATTATTTTTTTAAAATGCTTTTGGCTCATTTCAAGATGTGAAGTATTTTTTTTTCCAAAGTAAAATAACTGTGTAATTATGCTAACAGGGGAGATAACAAATGAAGCTGGGGAAAGTAACTATCAACATGACAACATATCTATCTTTGTCCTTCATAAAGAAATCATCTAAGTAAACTCACCAATGATTTTATGTGTTTAAGGGCTTTTACATGATGTTTAATATCACTCTCCATGGTTATCCAGCCTCTCATAATATCTGTTGTGTCTTTAGAAAGTTTAGCATTTTCTGAAGATAAAAGTTCTTATTGTTACTTGATACTGTACAAGAGATCATTTCTAAACAAAGCACAGTGCACTTAAATTGCAACAACCTACTTTTATACTTATAAAGTTACCCTTTTGAACCTGGAAGTCCATGAGGCAGATGAAGTAGAGTTCATTTATTTCTGTGACTATTAAGGGATAGTATGGAGACAGCACTAAGCCCAGCCACATTAGCTTTTCCTAATGTAAGTCAGGTACCCATCAAGGCTGAGTGGATTCAAGCACGACTTACAGACTCAAGCCCGGGATCCAAGCTCAAGACTTTTGGGTTAGCAGCTGTGTGATCAACCACCTGACCACACTGACATTTTTATGCATAATAAATAAGATGTGTTGGGGGGGGGGGTGCAAAACAGTGTGACAGGTTCAAATTCTGGGTACCCTGTAACACTGACTTCAATCTCTTTGAGACCCTGAGCTAATCCAGTTTTAAAGGGTTCCGAGCACTGCCACTGGGCATGGTGTTGCCACATAAAATTCCCACCTCCTGCTGTAATAAGGCAGTGTTGAAAGCTTTTTAACTCAGTGAATGTGATGTCCCATCTTCCATAATTAATCCAGTTGGCAGTAACAGGAAGAGTAAGTACTGCTGAACAAATAATTTCTTTCATGCCATCCTAAAATTGTTTTTAAATAAACTCGCCACTTACTGTTGCAATAATCTGCAATATTTTGGGCAACATCCACAGTATTGTCCATACAAACATTAATATACTCTGTCAGTTTCTGCTCCAGTATGTGCAGGTCAGAATCAATTTCATGCAGATAGCTATTACTTGCCATTTTTTTTAAACACCAGGCACACCACAGGATACTAGAAAATGTTTTAAAAAAGAAAACATCAGTATCAGCAAGATAATATTCACCATAATAACCTATAGGGGCCTATATAGCCAACATGCATGCAAAATATATTTATGCTCTTAGACACAAATATAAACATTTTTTTTTTAACATTCAAAAGATCTAGTGCAATATGAGTTGAAATTTAACTTTCTTATAATGCTTTGGACTAATTGTAATATACACCTGTAAGAAGATGCTAGTTTAAAGTTTAAGGCTAAAAATAAGCCCTTAATTTAAAATATTCATTTATAGTAGTATAGGCCCTATTAAATTATAGGCCTACTGTTTCATTGTTATTAAATAGAGCTAAAGTTCATATTAATTCATAGCCTATAAGCCTAACTATAATTATTCATTTTAAATTATGGCATCTAGCTCTACTTTGTTTAATTGTAACCTCTAGCTGCCTCTAGGCTATTATAAAAACTTAATCTATGATGTGGGCCAACTCAAAATTATTTTAATTAATTATTTCTTGAGTCACAACAGTTATAGTCCCCAGAAAATTCTCAGTGCGCCCCAGAAACTGTACTGTAATACTCAGATAGAAGTCAGTCAGTCAGTAGGCCTAATCAGTAGTGTTTTTTTTTTTTTTTTTTTTTTTTAAATAATTCATTGATATTTTGGTTAAATAATGCCTAAAAATGTATTTAATCTGCAAATTTGAAAGGCGTACCTTTTTAATTTTTATTAGACTTTTAGTTTTAGACTCTAGATCTAGATCTATATAAATATTAGTTTAGTCTATCAAAAGTCTAGCTAGAATAGATCTCTAAGAAAGAGATTCTCTTGATCTGGAAGTGGAATTAGAACTGTTCTTTACTGTTGTTAACTGAAATAACTGTAGTTAACTGTAGTACTAATTTTAGTAATTTAACTACTAAAAGACTTCATTAGTAATAAATCTAGATTCTAAATCTAGAATAAAATAGCAAGATCGAATCAATCTTTACTAGATCTAGACTACTAGATTTTAGATCTAGATCTAGAATCTACAGTCGAGTAGTAGATCTAGATTATCTAAATCTAGAATCTAGACTAGATTAGGCTAGCGGATAGTGATTGTTGATTAGGTCTGTCTAAAAAAATCTAGAATCTATAAACTTTTTTTTCTTCTTAGAATACTGGAGAGTACTACACCATAATATAAAAATTGGAAGCAATAGAAACGGTAGAAGTTAGTTAAAATGAGTGATAGACTTACTATCGGGTCAGCTATTTTAGGCAAGCCTACTCAAAGTAGCGTGACAGACAAAATTTGTAAACAAGCTCATTTTGATGTTCTAGTTGTACTTGAAGCTAACAGCAACACAGCGAAATTTAATCAAATACTTAATTTAATTATTTAAGAATGTAAAAATGTAATAAAATTTCGTCAATATTTGGAAGAGAATGTGTTGGTGTTGCTGGAGTGTGTATGAAATGCGCCATCACAACCAACCAACCAAACAGCTACAACGCGTGTATGGTGCTGTGGTGTGCTGCTGTTGTAACGTTGCTGGCGGCGAAGGTTGCCGTGTACAACGTCATCAAATGCTAGTGTCGTTGCAGCCGTAGCCTTTCAATATTTCATGGAGAATGTGGAGTTAGAAACTAGTCATTAAATTTAAATAAATAACCGAGCAAGACGTAGATTTAGATCTAATATTGATTGTAGGTTATCTCATTTTAGTTTGGATTAGGCTGCATATTACATGATAATCGTGATTATAGGCCTATAATTTGAATTTAGATCTGTGTTTAAGTTTATGATACCGGTAGTGTAGGCCCCGTCTTTCTCTTTACCTCTAGGTCCCACTCTAGGAGTTGTAGACTAGATCTAGATCTAGGTCTTTAGTTATCAGTTATCTAGATTTAGCTAGATCTAGATCTGTTCTTTCTTAACTATTCTATATCTAGATCTAGATTCTAGGTCTATTTCAACATTTTGACCAGATCTAGAATCTAGATCTAGTTTTCTATTTCTGTGTGGCTATGCCTATGCAAGTATTATACATTGTATACAACATAATTTTATTATGGTCTGTTTAGTCTGTCTGGTTCTAAGCTATGTCTCCAGTTCATAGCAAGCAATTGATTAGTTAAAGATTATTAGTCTAACAAATAATTAATTAATAAATATGGCCTAAATTATAAATAGCCTCATTTATATTTATTATATTGAGCAATAAAATAAATGTAGGCCTAGAAATCTAATAATTAGGCCATCAATTATTAGGTTTTATTTAAGTAAGCTATAGATATTACTAGATCTACCTTTTACTATTACCATTAGCCTAGTAGCATAATTCATCTATTAGCCTGGCCAATGGCTTTAGAGTTTAGAATATTACTAAAGCCTATCTATAGGTCTACTTCCCAAATTTTTATTATTAAAAAAATGAGCTAAATTTATTTTTTATGAAGGAAATTGCTGTTAATAATTTAAGATCATTTAATTTTACTTTAAAAAAATTGTAGGCAGGGATGTTAACTATATTAATTTATGTTTATCTACAGTAATCAAATGGTCTTAATCAACTAAGTCAGATCACAATTTACATTAGGGCTTAACTAATGATATAGTGAGTTATACTGCTAATCATATCATAGTATTTTTTTACTTTAGTGGTTTGGTAAATCTGGCCATCACAGTTGTAAGCTAAGATAAAAAAAATTATGCCAGATAATTACCATTTGTGCATACAATAAATAGGCCCACTTGGTAATGGTATCAAACATTTAAAGTGTCTACACATAAAAAATGTAATATGTAGGTAGACCTATGTCATATCTTGTACTAACAAAACAGTGTTGGTCTGTTGTCCTCCTTGTATGACAACTCCCATACAACATTATCTTGTATCTGTCATGATCAACACCCCCCCTTCATACTACATTGAAGGTATTCTACTACATTCATATTGCATATTATTAATTTACATGGCTGCCTTTTGCCCTGGGAGACAAATGGATGTGTTTAGAGAAGTATAATTCTATATAGTGCATGTAGGCCTACATGGGTATCAGATAAAAAGATTATTTTTAATGTGATTTCTTGAAATCAAAAAAAGTTATTAACTATCTCTCTGATTTAATGCTCATGACTACAATTAACCTTTTCTAAGTTTTTAAGCTTAAAACTGTCAACGCATGCAGTTTGATCAGAGGGATTTGTTTTTTTCTGTTGTGTTAGTAATGTAAACTAGTATTAGAATAAGTAAGTGTTAAATTTGCTAATAATTGTTTGTTTGGGTGCAATACAAAATATTTTATTTAAACTAGTGTAGCAAATCTGTTCACTTCTACAAAATTCATTCACTCTTTGTCTACTGGAAATTAAATACCAAAAGATTTTTCTGAACATGCTTCATCCAGCATTGATTGTTTTACTTATCCTAGATTGGTCATTTTAAAATTTTGTCTTTTTGCTTTCAGTTGCATTTCTTCACCATGGAGGATTCAGGTTTAAGAAAGTCGAGCCGTATTAAATCACGAAATAGGACAAGTTATTTGGAGGATGATTTCGATTATGAAACTGCAATGGATATTTGTGATGATACATATGAGGTGAAATCAGGTCTCAGTAGGGAGGGAGATGTTAAGAGTAAACCATCCACCTCAGCCGTGGCTAACCAAGTGAAGAAAAATTCTGGGGCTAAAAAGCAAACAGTTAATGGAAAAAATGAGCAGTTAACATGCCCTTTATGTAAAGTTATTCTAGCAACAGAAACAGAACTGCACAAACATATAACTAAACATAACAAAGATAAACAGGACAGTTGTGTTGTATGTCTTCAATGTTACAAAGTCTGTGTGGACCAGGCTGCCTACAGCAGGCACATGAAGTCTCATTCTGGCAACAGGAAGTTCAAGTGCCAGCAGTGTGGGAAGGCATTTCTTGAAAAAAGCACTTTGAAAAGGCATACAAGAACACATATTCAGGATAGGCCCTTTACTTGTGATGTGTGCTTTAAGTCATTCAGAGATAACCCTGCTCTGCTTAGGCACCAAAAAATTCACAGCCAACGCCAAAAGAGTTTTCATTGTATTTTATGTGACAAAAGTTTCACAGATAAGCATGGATTAAAAAGGCATGAAAAAACCCACATGGGGCTTCGTCCGTTTCAGTGTCGGGTTTGTTTGAAAACATTCAGTGAGACTGGAAGCTACAGGCGCCACATGAAAATCCACACAGGAGTTAGAAATTTTACGTGTTCTGTCTGTCAGAAGAGTTTTCTGGAAAAACAGAGTCTCAGAAGACACCAGAGAAATGTGTGTGGAATGGCGAACGGTGATTCCAGTGGCATTGATGGGGTCAGCAATGGTCACCAGTTTGGCAGTAACGAGGAGGACTCATGCAGTAGCACGAGGTATAGAAAAGATGAGCACAGAAGTGAGGGAGAGCTCTACGACAGCGGCACTCGTCAAAATTCTTCTGACAGCTGTAATCTGGGGGCAGAAAAATCTGGAAATAGTTCAGATTTTGAAAGTCCCCAACTCAAGGAATCTCATACTACTGACAGAGGAATGTACAGCATTGGCGTGGCTCCACCAGTTGACGATGACAAAAGTTCTGTAGATGATGGCTTATCTTTCCGTAGTCTTCTCAAAAGAGATCCCAAGTTGTTTGGTGATATATCAAAGATAGTTGAGAGTATAGGTTCCTATGAGGAAATGTTAGACTTGTGTAGTGAAAAAGGTCAGAGCGTGCTGGATGTCGGACTAAATTATGATAAAGTAGAAGACCAGTTGCTGTGCTTCGAGTGTGGAGAACCTCTTATAGAAGGGGATAATTTTAGAAAAAGTGATAAGAAAGTGAAAAATTCATTGAAGTGTATGAACTGTGAGGATGAAAAAGAGGATTATGGAGAACCTCCAGTTTTGACAGCTGAAGTCAGTCATTCAGTAGCTGATATTCAGGTGAAAACTGAAATTAATCATTGTTCTGATACAAAGGCAATAAGAAATAATTTTTTTGAAGAGACTGTTATAAAAACAGAGCCAGCTGAGTTCAAACAGAATGTAATTGTTCCTGATAAAATGCCGGATTCACAAAGTGATTCAGAAAACCAGAAACAGGTGACAGTGCCCAAGCTGGAATACGACCACCCAAACATCCCCTCAGTTTTTCCGTGCCACCTGTGCACCAAAGTGTTTGCCTCCTCCAGCTTCCTCTCCCAGCACCTCGAGCTGCACAGGAAGTCTCCCTACAAGTGCATGGTCTGCGGGAAAACATTCACAAACTCTCCTAGCCTCAAACGTCACATGACAGTGCATACAGGTGAGAAGCCATATACCTGCCCTCATTGTAGGAAATCTTTCCGGGATCCCTCCAACTTCTCAAAACATAAAAAGGTTTGTTCCAAATTTGAAACAGAAAAACACATTTTTTTGGTGCCAAAGTTTAACAAAATAACCCTAACCATTATTAACCACCAGCTGTTGTTTGGTTTTTCAAACTTCACAACAGGGGGAAATTTCAAATACTAATACCTTTTAAACCATTTTTTTTTATTTTGCCTTTTTATAATATTAGTAAATATATAAACATATTAATATTACATATAACATATCTACATAATACTAGTAGTTAAAAAATTGTCATGTTTTTTTCTTTCAGACTTGTGTGGTGTGGGCAACAGGCTTAGTTGATCCCTTACTTTTAATTAATGATGGCATGGAAAATATTAGTCCAATTCTTACTGAGTTTAAGTATGAACCTGCACCACTTATGGAAATACAAAAATTTGAGGAAGAATCTATAATGTTTAACTCTACCAATCATGATGATAAGAAAAGTCTGGCATGTTTAACATGCGGGAAAACTTTTGAAAGTCAACAAAGCTTAGACAAGCACATGAAAAGCCATAGATGCAAGGCGAAGATGACTTGCCCGGAGTGTGGTAAAAGTTTCTCGGATTCTTTTAGCCTGAAGCGCCATGTCCGCATCCACGCCAGCACACGCCCCTTTGTCTGCCAGTACTGTCAGCGCGGGTACTGTGACAACTGGAGCTTAAAGAAACACCAGTCTCGTGGATGTGTGCTGGCCGAGCTCCTGGTGCCGCCAGACTTCCTTCACCCCTGCACCCAGTGCACCAGGGTGTTCCCTGATCTGGAATACTTACAAGAACATTTAAAAATCCATAAAGGTATTTTGAAATTTAAATGTGACGTCTGTTTAAAACGATTCTCGGAGGCATTTAATCTGAAGCGTCATCAGCGCATACATGCGCTTATTTGTCCTGGGTGCGAGCAGGAATTTAAAAATAAACAAACTTTAACTGAACACCTGGTGAAGGATTGTTCAGGCTCCCCATTAGGAGTCAGTAAAGACGGGGGCTACGCATGTCCTCAGTGTAAAAGAACATACTCAACCAAATCTTACCTGGAGAGGCATAAAAGATTTCACCTGAACTTCAAGCCTCATGTTTGTGAATTTTGCAATAAAAGGTTTACAGAAGCGTTCACTCTGAGACGTCATGTAAAAACTCACAGCGTCATCAAACCCTTTAAGTGTGAAGGGTGTACAAAAAGTTTCCTCAACCTGGCTTGTCTAAAACGACACCTTTCTGCTAATTCTCTTTGTAAGAGCTTACAACCACCTGAAAAAATAATTATTTATAATTGTCAGATCTGCACTAAAACCTTTTCTAAAAATTACCTTCTCGTCAGACATATGAATGTCCACAGTGAGGATCGGCCATTTTCATGCAACGTCTGTCAAAGAGCGTACAAAGACACCTCCAGTTTAAAACGACATCTGCTGATACATGAGGGGGTTAAAAATTTCATCTGCACTGTGTGTGGGAAGGATTTTTTCTACGCCGACAGCTTGAAGCGTCACATGAATGGGTCATGTGGTAAGAACAACAAAACACGTAGGCCATGCAAGAAGAAGAAAAAGAAGACCAACAACAATATAAAAATGAAAAACAACAACACGCTGCCAGACGGTGAGGTGAAAAGTACTGAGAATAATACGGTGGCTCAGCTAGAGAAAATAGATGAAGTTGCCGTTGCAGTTAGTGAGGTTGCTCCAATCACATTAAATGGTAACCAGAAAACATCTCATGCCAACAAGTTATCTAGTAGACATTTAAAGCGAACCAAAAATTATCACTGTCTACAATGTTATGCTACATTTTCTCGCAGACTGTATCACAAACTACATATGAAAACACATGTTCATACACAGAAAAAATAGATCATCACTTTAGATACTTTGTGATACTTATTGAATTAAATTATCTGTTTTAAATGTTGGCTGTGGGAAAGGTGATTTATACTGCTAAATGTGATAGCATTCACTGCTGAATTTGTGTGTGGATCTATCTTCATTTACTGCTGTATATGTGGAGCTATTTACTGCAGTGCAAGGAGTACTACTTAAGTGATGTGCAAGCTGATCTATTTACTGCTGGACATGTAGAACTAATTATTGTTGTGTATGGGGAACAAAGTACTATAATTTGTGAAACTATTTAGTATGCAGGAAGAACTATTTACTGATGTGCATGTGAATCTATTTACTGCTGTGTATCAATACACTCACTGCTGAATGTATGAATGGTAAGAAAAAGTGCATCATCACTACATGTGCAAAATCACATGTAGTAAATCTAGTCAAGTAGTTTTTTTTTTTTTTTAAATGTTCTTTATTCTGAATTGTACTGATACAGTATGTAAAGAAAGATGTTGTTTGATTTTTTTTTTTTACTTTTTTGTCAGAGAAGACATTTTAAGGATTATTTATTTTTAAACTAGCATCACTACATACCTTAAGCCTTGAATTTAAGGCATTGTCAGGTAAAAAAAAAAAAACAGCACATAACAATGCATTGACATGTCTATGGCTTTATGAAAATAATTTTACAAATTAAAATTAAACTTTCCATTTTTGTTAACAATTATTTTATTGCTGATATTTTTAATTTTACTCACATTTTTAAGTTATAATAGACCATTACAAAAATTAGTCTATTATTTACAATCATTCAAAATGATTATTGGAACAGAAATCTCGGTGATATATTTCTTGTACATAGTTGTTAGAAAAGTCTAAATAGTTCTTATCAATGCTGTTTGTTTCTTTATGTGAAGAATTTATTGTATATTTTATTTTATCTAATACAGTTTTATCTCCTGCCACTCTTAGATCTTTTAATTAGTTGCTTCCCTGTCATCATTCACTGTGGTGTTCATATAATATATTATAATATACTAAGTTGATAGACAATATGTATTATTTACAAATATTAGCCTTTGTTGGAATTTTTTTTTAGCTTTTTATGAATTTACTGTATATATCATGATTAAAGTGTTCATGAATTAAGAAGTATTTATATGGTGAATTAAAATAAGTCAATCTTTTTTAATAGGACTTATTATAGCTTATTTGCACCAAATAATTAATGCCGCACTGCTGGAATTAATCTCTCCATCCTGCTATTTGGTTGTAATAATTGATGTGATGTACCCAAATATAGAAGAAATGTTATGGTATTGTACCATAAAGAGATTTTGTGGCACAACTGAATTTTTTGTGATGCTGCTTGCATGTGTTCAAACAGTTTGTGATACCATATATGTAACTATTGTATTATGATCTGATGTAATATATAAGCATTTGACAGTTTGTGATTGCCAACAAAAACTGTAAAAAAGACTGTAACACTGTACTATCATCTGTTGTGATCTTTTTACCCTGTAGAGGTAGAAAAAAATTAATTTTAGTAACACTGAGTTAAACAATTGGTTTTTTTTTTACATTGAGCTACTTGTTAAAAACAATTAATCACCAATTGTTGTGGTTAAATTAGTAAAGATTGGGGTAATTAATTATAGAAAGAAATGTTTGAATCTTAATGTATAAGTTTAGAATGAAAATGAGGTATTTGTAGAAAGAAATATAAAAACTTAAAGCATAAAGTTTACAATGAAGAATGACCAAAAAATTGCTTTTAAAATAACAAATAATTGCAACATTATGCTTACCAAAGAGGTGTGGCTGTACACTATTTTGTTACTAAAACACATTTAAAAAAACTAAAGGTAGTTTTTAATTATCTTTATATTTTTGTTTCATATTTTTACAGGGTAAGGTTTTTATTCGCAACTTTTTTGTTTACCCTCTCTGTAGATCTATAGCAGGCATCTCTTGTTCCTGTTTTTTGTATTCAGGGGTTTTTAATTTGAACCACTTAATGCTACTGCATCCAAACCAAGGAAATTAATTTTTTTGTTTATTTCTTTACATTTTTAACTTTTTAAAAATCAGAACATAAATCTTAGCAAATTATTTTAGTAAACCAGCTTTATGTTCATCATTTAACTTGTTCATGTATTGTACAATCAGTATTATTATATTTTTGCCCAGTAGTACATTTATTTAATACTGATATTTTAATTAAAAATATTTTTAAAAAAAAATGAATGTGTCTTTGTTTTGTGATGGGGAGACGGTGTTCCGATAATATGCCGTCACAATCATGCATTTTAAAAACAGTAATAGTAATATTAGAAACTAAATATTAGCACGGTTTAGAAAACTGCAGTAATAAATTGTAATAGACATCTGATCAATTAAAATTAATTGCTTTGTCAATACTTTAGAAGAAAAAAATTGTTTTAAAAAAAAAAAAACTCATCTCTAATTTTAAGGGGAGGGGGGAATTTGCAGGCTGAGGTGAGATGTCATTTTAGGGGCTGGCTTATTGGGGGGGGGGGGGGAATCATCATTTATGGATTACTCCATAGGTATATGCATACCATTCCATAGACCCCCCTCCTCCCTTACAACTTTTTGTGTAACTTGAACTTTTCAATTAATCAATTCTTAGTTCTATTATTCAATAGAATATCGCTTAATGTTACTCTCTAGAAACCACTGCACACCGTAAAGCCTTATTTGTGCTAAAGAAAGCAAGGATCAACATAAGCCGATTCACTATTATTCATCCTTTGTTTAATCTTTTGTAAAGGTGTTCAATGTCAACATCAATACTAATCCTTTTTTCCGTCAGTTTAATTTGCAATCTAATTGCAATCAAACTTTAAAATCCGTCTCGATTACAGCCCATCCAATATCTCATTGGCGATCAGGCCCTTATTAAAAAATATTGATTTCTCCTGCTCGAACCTGGCGAGGTCAATGACAGCTGCCTCGTTTCTTCCACCCCACCCCCCCCCCCCACACACACACCCACAGCCCCCCACACACACACACCCACAACCCCAGCCGTGACAAGGACAACTGGCTACCGCCCCTCATCCCAGAGCGCGGCTGATGATTCACCCACCACTACCCTCCACTCACGAGCCGGCTTAGCTCAGCGTGTAAAACCCGTACTGCCGAAACAGGAAGTTTCGAAATTTCTGAGGCCCGTATTGTCGAAACAGGAAATATGGAAATTAAAGGCAAACCACTTTGCTGAAATTGCTATGTAAAATAGATATAATATATTATTTTTCAATTAAAATTTAACTATTATATGATTTCTTGTATTATTTTATTTTTAAAAAAACGACAGGCCAAAAATGGATAGGGGTAGTTTATTTAATTTGAGCCCCACCCCTCTCTCTTTATTGAAGTATGACGTTGTTTAAGGACGATCCTTAATTTGAAAGCTTAAGTTTTGCTAAACTCTGTCACTAGGGCAGATTCAGTAGTGTACACTACTATTCAGTAGTGCTTCTGTGAACACTTCTGTGAACAGAGCTAAACTCAGACTAAACTGACTCTATGATGTCCAGAGGCGTAGCGACCCGTTCCGGCGCCCGGGGTGAACTATCAATTTTGTGCCCCCTCCCATGTATATTATAATATCGTGTTAGTGAACCCCCCCCCCAGCTTAAAATGAGCTTACATTTTTTTCTACCGCCCCACCCGCCCTCCCCTAGCTACGACGCCTTTGGTGACGTCCTGCGGATCCGAACTCGAGATTTTCATGTGAGCAATCATGCGTGCGTTCTATCGGCCCCGTCCCCCTTGAGCGGGTATGGACACCCGATAACTATACCGGGCTCAATAGCAAATATGCCGTGGCTCATTTTAAAAGTGGGACATTATGTTTGTCTGGAAATAGGAGCGAGTTGAATAATTTTAAGAGGGTGAGGAGTGATGTCTTCCAGGCCCCCCCCCCCCGACGAACAAAATTATATAGAAAATATATACTTTTAACAGTGTCCGCCCCCCCCCCCCTGGAAATTTTAGTCCACCCCCTCCCGAAAATTTCAAGTGTCCATTTCTCCTCCCCCCCCCCCCCCTCCGGAGAAAAAAGTTTGGAAGAGACACTGGTTGGTAAACATTGTCTACAATGACGTGACGTCATTATGGATTCCCCCTCTCCCCTGTAGCTAAATTTAATGTATTATAGGCCTATATATTTATACTACACATACATAGTACAGAAACTAAGCAAAAATAGTACGTGTACTATTACCTAATCTTTTCTCAATTTCTTATATCCAATCCAAGTATTTCTTCCAAGACGATTCGCATGTCTTCCATGTAGCAGGTTGGCGACCCTAGCCCTGACCCCAATCCCTAGTAATTATGAACCTTCCCGTGGCGTTAGCCTTGACCCTGAACCCAATACGAGCCCTAACAGCCTAACAGTAACACTTAACAATGTCCCATGGCCATTTTCACCAGTAAAGGTTTTCGTTGGTTGGCCTACAATTATAGACATTAATTCGTTTATAAAAAAATAAAATAAAAGAAAAAGCTTAATTAACTCCCATACCTTCTATCCCGTGCAGAGTTTCTTCCATACTTTTATCTCCGCGGGGGGGGGGGGGGGGGGGGGGGTGCGACGACTAACATTTCTATGGGGAAGGGGAGTGCGGACAGTGTTAAAAGTAAATATTTTCTATATAAATTCCATTTCGTTCGAAGAGATGTCTGGAGGGAACAGAGGCGTAGCGACCCTTCCCGGCCGGCGCCCGGGGACAAACTTTTCGATTTGCACCCCCCCCCCCCCTCAAGATTTCGATTTGCACCCCCCCCCCCTCAAACTTTCGATTTGCACCCCCACCCCTCAAACTTTCAATTCAATTTGCATCCCCTCAACTTTTCAATTTATTTCTCCAACCCATTTTGGCGCCCCCTATGGTCGGCGCCTGGGGACATATGTCCCCCCGCCCCCCCCCCCTCGCTACGCTACTGGGAGGGAACTCTGATCCCGTGCACATCTATATCAGAAAAAGGTTGTGGCCTACACATTGATAAGCCTAGAGCAGAGGCGTAGCAACCCTTCCCGGCGCCCGGGGACAAACTTTCAATTTGGCGCCCCCCCCCCCTCAAACTTTCGATTTGCACCCCCCTCCCCCAAACTTTCGCTTTGCAACCCCCCCCCCCCCCCTCAAATTTTTGATTTGCATACCCCTCAAACTATTTATAATGCAAAAATGCAGCTAATTTGACATTTTAATTTGTTTTTACAACCCATTTTGGCTCCCCCTAAGTTCGGCGCCCGGGGACATATGTACCCCCCCTGCCCCCCCCCCCCCCCCCATCGCTACGCCTCTGGCCTAGATAATAGTTCTCATAGATTACATCACACTCGGGGTTAGGGAGGTTGAACTTTTGTGACCAGGGGTAAGGGGGTGAAGTTTTGTGACGGTGCGTGACGAGGGGTAAGGGGGTGTTGAACTTTTGTGACGAGGGGTAAGAAGGTTTTGGGTGAATAGGGTTCGGGGTAAGAATGTGTGATGCAACTTACTTTTTAAACGAATTTTTGAAAATTTAATTAGCAGTCTTGGATTATGTTTTTTTTTTTTGTAAATTGTTATAAAAATTGATCAAGCTACCGGTTGTTGTTTTTTTACTCAGCTCAATAAATAGCCTATTGTAATTGTATAAAGATTTAGACAAGCTGTTGTAAGAAAGAATAAATACAATATGGAGACGAGATGTATGCGGAAGCTGACCCCCACCCCCTTCAAGTTTTTCTCTATATATTTTGCTATTTTTTGCCTTGGTGTCACCCCCCTAAATGGTGTCACCTGGTGCGGTCCGCATCCCCCCCCCCCCCCCCCCTTCGCTACGCCTCTGCCCCCTTCCCAAACTAGGCAAAAATAAAGCATATTTATAGTTTAAAGGGAGAGAGTTATAAATTATTATATTCCCTCTTTTTCATTTATTTTATAGAGTAGTTTCCCTTTCTCATTTGCATAGTGCTCTTTAACAACGAAGAGTAATGACCGTGCTTTATCGTATGTTGAAATGGCACCGTCCGCTAGGGATAGTGTGATTGAAGATGATCAGTATTTTAGAGTTATTATTAACGAAAGAAGTGTCGATGATATTTCTTTAGACTTCTTTTACAAACCTCATACTATTACCCTACTAGTGACTTGCATTTCAGGTCTTTTATATTTTGCTTTCACAAGGTAGGCTTATTTTTTTTACACATGTGTGAGTCTGTGACCGATCCACGGGTCGAATGCGGCGCGCTACGAAATAAACTAAAAAAATATTAATATAGAATCTAGTCACTAGTCGATTTAGATCTAGATTCTAGCCTGGATCTATTCTAGATCTAGATCTATACAGTGATTAGAATAAGTAATTTAGATCCCTATCTAGATTCTAGGTAGATCTAGAAGTAATCCATTAAAATCATTAATTAATTAATTGATTGGAGGGGGCTTAGGGGGGCCCGGCCCCTATAAAATATCCTAATATATAAATCCCCACGTTCGCACATCTCTCTCTCTCTCTCTCTCTGTCTGCCCGCAAAATATTTTCGCCGGACATCACGTCAGAATCGGCAGCGATATATGAAGAACTTTTTACGGACTTTTGTTGAAAATAATATGTTAGATGTTTTAAATGTATAACCACAATTTTAGTTAAAGAAGAAAAATAAAAATTAAAGGCGTATTCGAATGTAGAGAAACAGTATTATTTATGCAACCGGAAAAGCATTAATATATGTGAAAAAGAACGCATAAAACTGTGACGTCACTATTGCTTATACATTAACTAATGACGTCATCTGCCGTGTTTAGAATGAAAAGAAATGAACTATTTCATTCAAATTTGATTTAGATCTACGTACACTATGAAATGTATACAATACAATTTTTCCGGCCTAAACTCATAAAATTTATTTTATGTATTTGGATTCTAGATCTAGAGATTCTAGATCTAGACTAAATCTAAATCTACGCAATAACTAGATCTAGACGTAGACGCTAAGATCTAGATTTAGACTCTAACTTCTCTAAAATCAATTCCAAAAATAAATTTCTATATTAGGACTAAACTATTTCAAGACTTATTTATTTTATACAAAATCTTTGTTATGAACTGGCTAATTTGGGATAAAAAATTAATTTGAAAGAATAGGCATATTCGCGTAAGTTAAGACTTTAAAATACGTGTTTCATTCTCCGTATTTTATAAGGTGCCTAAATAGCGGAGATGTTAGTGTACATTAAACCACGCAGGTGGTGCGGGTTCGAGACACAGCAAGTCAAATTGGTTAATGTATTCTTTTTTATTATGCTCGGGCTAAACTTAAAAAAAAATTCTTTTAGGAATCTAGATCTAGATTGTCGGGTGTCCGATAGGGCACTTCCCGGCGCCGCAGGCGCTTCAAATTTGGCATGATCTTGCCTTGGGGCGACAGAACACGGGGGCCGGTTGGCCGAAAAGTCTACGATGTGGGGGTCAAAACTGACCTCGACTGACCGGTACCTTATATGAGCTATAAATCGAAAAAAATGTCCACGGAGGAACCTCTTCATAACTCTTGAGGTCGTAGACCGACCTTCGGGCGAATTAATTAAGCATTCAAATTCTCAATGTTTTCGAAAGCCTAAGCGAAGCTGGGCAGCATGCCTAGTTAAATAATAAATATAGATTATAGCCTAAAATTACAATACATATCTCTTGTCTTAACGCTTACTCTTACTTAACTAAACTAATTAACTCTTATCTTAACTGAGACTTTATCCTAGCCAGGGAGATTAATTATTGGAGGGGGGGGGGATTTTTATACCAGTGTCTGGTATTGCAATAATAAAATCTTCTTTTAAAAAGGGGTATTAGGTTACTAGTTGCTGGCTAATGCCAATGCTAACCCCAACCGAAGTCCTACCATATGCCTAACCCTAATTTCTTACCATAAAATTAGTCGAGATTACAATACTTTCTGAATACTACTAGATTTAAGATCTAACAACCCAACACACCTATTTTAAGGCGAATAGTCTATTATCGGACATCAGTTTCTAAAATCATCCGACCTGGGTCCTTATTATTTAAATTAAATAATTATTAATTAGGCCTACTTATAGGGCCGGTGACCTAAAACGCAAAAAAAACTGATAAAATTCATTTTCTAACATTCAAGATTGTGACCTCCCCTGCCCCTGATCACACATCATCAAAAAGTACAGACCACTCCCCCCTACAAGTCTGATGACATTTATGGACGATCCCTTATCCAAGCTCTTACATAGCACTCCCCCCAATTTATGATCAAAACACTAAATTTGAGATTACAAATTACTAACAACGTACCAGCATCATCTTTTCCTGTTCATGCCCAAGACTCATGGGGCAGATGGAGTAGAGTCCATCTGTTTCATGGACCTTGAAGGGATAGTGTGGCCAGCACTATGCCCAGCAGCCTTTGCTTAAACAAGTTAGGTACCCACCAGAGCAGGGTGGACTAAGGGACGTTTTACTTACTGAGACTTTCGAGTTAGTAGGCTAGCTCTCTACCACTAGGTCAGGCCGTCCCTTAACAACGTAACTTAGGCTCTAACTATTTTATATATTTTCAGAAGATAATATTGCCAAACATTGGTAATACCAACGTGCTGTAAATCGTTAATTCTGATTTAAGTGGTAAAATAATGGTTGGTAACTGTCTTTAGTATGTTTAAAGGCCAGTATGGTTGGTTGGGATAGCACATGGTTGCTTACCTGAACAATTACATTCAGGAAGACAGAAAACACATCATGTAGGGAAAAAAAAACAATGCCAAGTTGTAGGCCTATAGGTAACACCTCTTTTACTGTTAGGCAGGTGGTTACATATCTGATTTTAAAAATCTTTCAAACGCCTGCTTACCCTAACTTAAAGTAACCTAGAAAAATATACCAAGTGAAAGAAACTTGAGACTTGTAACCAGGCCATGAGAGGAGAACTTTACAAAAAATGTTTCATTTTTATTTAGAGATGACAGCAACCAAGAAGAAAATATCTGGAACGGATTGAGTTGTGTTTTGCTGTTCTTCTTAATCATAAGTGTTTTAGCTTTTCCAAATGGTAAGTAACGTTCATTATAAAATATTTGTAAACAGCTATCTTCCCAATTTAAAGTGAATGTTTGAAGCCACTATTTAAATAGATGTAATACCTCACATATCTATATTTTTAGGCCCATTTACCAGACCACATCCTGCAATTTGGAGGATTGTCTTTGGTAAGTAAAAGTACACTGTGTTTGATTGAACATTTATTTGACATAAGCCTGCTATAGGAGTCATAAGCTTCTTCTTTTTTGTTCTTAATTTTAGTATACATGTCATGGTTATGTGCCATTTTGGCTATTGATTCCTATTTCAGCCTGCTTTTTTTTTTTTTTGGATTTGCTTCCTTAGTCTTCGTCCAACCAAGAACACAGTCATAGCTTAACCTCTTTGATATTTTTTGTCATATTACTGTTAGCTACATGTGTCAGTGTCAGTCTGGTTAGTCATAGGATTGCTTAGTAAGTTAAAAAATGGTATGAATGCATTCGTTTGAACACCCACTTGACATACTTGAACCTGTGTCATGGGTTAAGCTTCCTTTGACTCATGTATTCATGTTAGTTACTTTTGTCTGACTGGCTGAAGTGTGAACACTGCTATACTGCTTCAATAAACAAATGTGTGGACCCCTTGGTTGAGTTGTTGACACGCTGTTGCTTACTTAATATTCTCTTATTAATAGCCTGTTTGCTTCAGTAGGTTGCCCCAGATTCCACCAGATGGCTACTTGGTTTGTTTTTTTATGGAAGTAATTAAAGCTAAGAATAATGTTGACTACACTATCCCTTCATAAGAAAAGTTAAAAATAAGCAATAGAATTCTAAATGAGTACTTTCAGGAGCTTTCAAAGTAGTGTTATAAATCTTCTATCAATTAGAATTTCAGAAAAAATGAAAATTTCTTCAAAAATTAAGTTTTAATTGTATACATTATATTATACATAGTAATCAGAAACATTAAGTCTTGTGATACCTTTTGTTTCTCTAACCTTGTTAATTCTTCAGTATAATGTTAGAGAAGTGGAGAGTTATCCCCCAGTGTATGTTTACAACAACCCTTCTTGTTATCTCCCCACAGGTCTCAGTGTGTTTTACTTCTTGCTCCTGTTGTTTCTTCTCTTACAGGTCTCAGTGTGTTTTACTTCTTGCTCCTGTTGTTTCTTCTCTTACAGGTCTCAGTGTGTTTTACTTCTTGCTCCTGTTGTTTCTTCTCTTCCAAACCCCCCTTCTTGTTATCTCCCCACAGGTCTCAGTGTGTTTTACTTCTTGCTCCTGTTGTTTCTTCTCTTACAGGTCTCAGTGTGTTTTACTTCTTGCTCCTGTTGTTTCTTCTCTTCCAAACCCGAACTGATGTCAGGAACATGATGATCTGGCTCTATCCTGAGTTAAAAGACTCGGGTCCTGATGAGAAGGTAACATGTTTTTCTTACTCTTTGGGATACAAGCTTTTAGAGCGTCTATTTTTTGTAGTGCTTGAATTAAAAACTAATATGGGGAAACTAGTATGGAGCTTCTATGTTTATTCTGCTATTTGGAATAATTTTTTGTAGCTAGTTTAATCTTTATTAAAAATCTTTTTAAAAACTGTTTTGCATAGTTTAGAATTTCTCTTATTAGTAGGCTCTTGTATCGACTTGGGATTTTAAAAAAGAATAACACTGCATTAATTAAAAGAAAATCTTTCCTGTTTAACCTTGATTATTCCAGGAAAATATTTTTCTAAATTTAATTAGAACATTGATTTATTGCACACAGGAAATAAAAAAAAATTAATCTACTTAATGACACTTTTTTTTATTACACACAGCTATTGGGGGTTAATGGGCCATAACTGAGGTAAATTGACCAGTAGATATAAGGTATAAGTAAATTGCCATTGAAAATATGAAAACTATTCATGTGTTTTCTATTTGTAGGAGTATGCAGTGAATTGCTCCGAGATCAGCATTCAAAGACTTCGAAGCAGTGTTGATGTATTTATATTGTGCCATTTCTTTGGCTGGGTCACCAAGGCTCTCCTTATCCGCCATTATGGCATTCTGTGGACCATCAGTGTCATGTGGGAAATCACTGAGGTGGGTGTTGTTTTCTTACTCGCCCCATCTCCTAATACTCAGATCCACCAAGCTCCCTTTCTACCTGACAGTCTATAGGGCTAGTGAAGTAGAGTTCACTTGTTTCTGTGACCTCGGCATATTAAGAGATAGTGTGGTCAACACTATGCCCAGCCGAGTTGGGTTGACTCCATCTAAGCTCCATTACTTGTTCTAAAATAAACCAGCATGATTATGCTATTTGCTAAATTTTATTGAAAGATAGAAGCTGATTATTTTAAAAAATTCTTTTTTCTCTCATACTTAAGAATATATCTAAGTTTTTACTATTGATAGAGTTTCTTTAAATCTGTGCAAATTATAACCCTAGTTGAAGTTGCATGTAGACCTTTTGTTGTGTTAATGACTACATTTTTTACTGTTTGAAGTTTCTGGTGGCTATATTGTTGTCTTACATCCACTGCCATTGTTTACCAGGTAGCATTTGCTCATCTCCTGCCCAACTTTGCTGAGTGCTGGTGGGATGCCATCATCCTAGATGTCTTGCTTTGTAATGGCCTCGGCATATGGATAGGCATGTGGATCTGCCGTAAGCTGGAAATCCGTGATTATCATTGGGAAAGTATCAAGTAAGGATCTTATCATTCGTAGACTTAAATATTAAATTGGCTAGCACAATATATCAAATTTTATAGATTTAAAAGGAAACTGAATTTTAAAATAAATCTTTCCCAATATATGTACATCAAAATTTTATTAATAATTAAAATATTTGATTTTAGACAATGTTTTATCAGTAATGTATGAAATGTTTTAACATTGTTTCTAAAAATGTTTATAACTTTTTGATTTAGTATGTGTCTTTAGTTTTTTTTACAAGGAAAGTTTTAATATTTGCTTTATTCTTTCAGAGATATTCACTCAACAACAGGCAAGTTGCGTCGAGCTGTCCTCCAGTTTACACCAGTCAGGTAAACATTTAGTTTACATCTGAACCCTAGTTTTATGTTTTCCTGTTATAACAGCTCACGCACTGATTCCTATGTTTTGGTTGTCAACAGCTGGTTGTATGTGCGCTGGATGGACCCCAACTCCACCATGATGAGAATCATTGCAGTGTGGATACTGATTGTGGCCTGGCAAATGGTTGAGCTCAACACATTTTTCCTCAAGCATATTTTCTTCATTCCACCTTCCCACATGTTGAACCTGATCAGGCTTTTGTTGATTTGCCTCATTTCAGCACCCACTATACGGTTAGTCTGAAGCTGTTGATGCATTTTGTAATAATGTGGTTTCCATGTTTTAGAACTCAATCTTATCATGTTACATTTTCTGTCAATTTTATTCTTTAATTTCGGCTTGATACAATGTAGTATTTTAAGCTTTACATTGGTCGGCAGAGTTAATAGCTGCTGTTCTAAGTTTGGTCCACTCAGCTCTGCTGGGTACCTGAATTGTGTTATCGTGCTATCTAACCTAATTCTGCTTTGTTCTGTTTTTCAGGCAGTACTACGTTTATGTCACTGATACTAGGTGCAAAAGAGTAGGAACACAATTGTGGGTATTTTGGTAAGTCCTTTTTTTCTTTTAAATTTCTTTAAGGTGGTGTCACTGATAAATAAACCAATTTACTTTGTGTTACTAAACATTTTTTTAGGGATCTTGGCTTCTTACTGCTCATCTTAAATCTATAAAATGTTTTAATAATTGTCATGGCACTAGACAAAATCAGTTTTAAATTAGAGGATTTAAACATTAGAAAAAAAAGCTGCCTAGTTTGAGGGAGGAAAGACAAATATTGCATCCTTGTCTGTGTGTTAACACTGCTGATTAATTATTTTTTTTTATAGTGCAATCATGTTGACTGAGAGTATCATATGCATCAAGTTTGGCCTGAAGATGTTTAGACAGACTGTGGCCACCTACATTATCACCTGGCTTTGTGTACAGGTAGACTCTCCACCTTTTTAAATTTGGCTTTAAGATAGTGTACTTGTTAGAGTCCAACTATTTATTAAGATACACAAAGTAAGATACACAAAGCTAGCCCATTAGGAGATTCAAGAACCCGTTGTTTTTTTTTCCACCTTTTTAAACTTGACTTTATACACAAAGCTAGTCCATTAATTTGTAGATCTAAGGGTCAGTTATATTTTTTTTTTGTACTTCAGATGATTGGTAGCTTTATATGCATCTACCTGTGTGCACTGTTTGCTGAACGCTGGAACAAATGGAAGGTCAGTGAAGGGATACTCAATTGATTACCTCAGGACAGTGCTAGACAACTGTCTTGTACTTAGCCTTGGGTAATGGATTAAGAAATGTTTCTATTTGAGTTCCTCTCTTGTTTATATTCAACTCTTCAAATTATTTTTCCAGCACTTTCATGACGCAGACTCTCCCATCAGAGCTACCAGATACAGGCTGGAAGAGACTAAAGAGGATTCTGAAGATCTTTCATCTGAGAATGTGCCGGTGAGTACCGACCGCGTCATGGCCAATGGCAACACGCTACGGTCAAGGTCACCACGCAGGAGGTCAAAGAATGTCAGCAGTACATCAAGCCCATCTAAATCTCCAGTCAATGGTAGTTCCTAAAGTTTCAAAATTTCAGTTGGCTGTACTGTTCTTACAAGTTTTTCCCTGTTTAGCTTTTGATTGAAGCTTAGCAGCTTTTTGACTTGCGGTTTTCTGGTGTTAGTGCTGTAGTTTTAGATGATTTCTTCAGGTTACAAATATTTTTAAACTGCTACAAATGTGCAGTTCTAGCACTAATTATTACCCTGTGAGTACTCAATAAAATATTTATGTCTTTTAATCAGCACAAAATCATTTTTAAGTCACATCGGGTTTCATTCTAGAAACTATTCCCTTGTTGGCACCTGTAGAAATGATCAATGTTAGTGAAGGTGCTGGTTGTTGTTTATAGATTTGGTTGGTCTGTTTGTGTTGGTCTATGTTTGAGTGACTGGTGCCAACTTTGTATGCTCACCTTTAGGGTAAGCTGTGAAAGTTGATGGTCTGATTGTTAGGTGGGCCAGGTGTGGTGGGCCATCCGTGTGTGTGAGATGTTGGTGTTTTTGTTTGGTTGATAGTCACAAGGTTGTGGGCCATAGATGGGGGTGTTCTTTTTTTAGTTAGGTTGGTTGGTCAAGAATGTTGATGGTCACAGTGTTAGGGGACATAGATGGTGGCAGTTGTTCTTTTTTTTAGTTTGGTCAAGAATTCACTGGTCACAAGTTTGGTGGGACATGAATATTATGCGCGTAAGTTTGCGAATTTGACTGGTTGCATATTTAAATGACAAATTCAGTAAAAATTAGAATAGTTCTAGTCCCAACATTGTTGATGAGTGTGGTTTATGTACATGTGATTTTGTGTTTGTTTAAAAATGGGAGTATAAATAGCTTGAATGTAATTGTATGGTGGTGTGTGCAATCAAATACATAACATTGAAATGGTTTTTGTTTTTGTATATACTCTAATAGAGATTAACAATGGTTGTTTATTTATTTTTATTGTGTACTTATAAAATCAATATTTCAATTTTTAAACTTATTATTTTAATGTCTGTTAATTTAATAAAATAAATTATGTAAACATGTGCGGTCAAGTTTAATCATGCAGCTTGTATGCAAAAAGTGAATTTTAGTTTTTAAACTATCTGAATTTATAGTTAAATTATTTTTAGTGACTTTACAATTCATGGGGTAAAAGCAGCTGCTGTACATTTCAATCTATTGTCAGTTGTGTGTGTGCATGTGTTGAAGTGTGTTGCTTTCATTTATTATCTGGTTCTAGGGGATTTTTTTAACAAACCACAGTCATTTTATTGAAGTTGTTTTAAAAACAACTTTGAACTGGGCATTGTTTTATTTAGAAAGTTTACACACTTAAATAGACTAGCCTGTCTCTACCATCATTGATACAAAGAATATCCATACATTTGCCATCTTTTGTTATGTGGCGTTACCACCTTCCATGCCAAGATGAGCAGATAGATCATTTTAAGTGGCCCTTTTTTGTAACTTTATTTTAGGAAGTTTAGTAAAAATACCTGACAATATTTATTGAAATTATCCATTATTGAAAGAATTACTTTAAAGCATGGGAAAAAAGGATTATGCTGTGTTTGTCTGTGTAATGAGTAGCCCCCTCTTTAAAAAAAAAATATTCTCATAGTTAAGTCTGAACCCTCAGATCACTTACATTATTGTAAAATACATGTTACAAAATTCTTTTCCTTTTTTTTATAACTGTTAATACTCCACATAGAAAAAAAATAATCCCATCCTGCATTTGAATAGTATTTTGCTTTAATGAATGTTGTTTTTTGTTTGACTTTTTAAATATTAGACTTCCTTACATTTGCAGCATTATCCAAATGAAACCCAGGTTGTTGTTTTATTTTTTTATAAAGTATCCTTTATTCTGTTTTTTTTTTTTTTATCTTTCTGAAGTATTTCTCACTGTTAAGCAAGAAACAGGGAAATAACTAATGCAAATTAATACTTTGAATACCACAGATAATTAAAGCAGACCTAACGCAAAGAGAAATACAATTTCTCTGCAACAGGTTTTACAGTAAAATTTAGACATTTTTTTTATGAAACTTATTTTTCCCTTTGAAATAAAAGTATTCTACCAACCATTTTGATGTGTGAAATTTTGAAAAAAATTGATTTAAGCTTCTTCTCATAAAATATTAGTAAATATTTCCTTAAAAAAAAACACCTGATTTTTTTAATCAGAAACATAGCTATGCATTCTTTATTCATCATGGAAAACAAATTCCCTTTTTTTCTGTGGTTATTAAATGGTTAGCATTATATCATGTACATTTCTATTTTCTGCTGTGGTTGTTCAATTTATTTTTGTATTACCGGTTACATTATTTATTCAGTATTTCTTGGCAGTATCATGAACTAGCAGAATCTCATTCCATGCAAGTAAATAAAACATCAAGCATTTTTAGATATTTTTTTTAGCTCTTAGTCTGCTGGCATGTGTAAAACTGTCCACAGAACTATTTTTAGATTGTTACTATTTGGTTTCCTGGTGCCGTTTTTGTGATATTATTTTACATAGAATTGTATGTAGTATTAAATCTTTGTTTGCAGGTTAAGTCCAAAATGTTAACATTCGTATAGACACTTTATGGTTTTAACTCCATGAGTTTTGGCCCCAAGTGGTTCAGCCCAATAGATTGGTCCTCAGATGTTAACATTGTTATTGTCATGGTATTTTTTTTATGCAATGAAGACATTAAAAAAATGAAATGCTAGAAAACATTGAAATATGTTTTAACTTATGAAAATATCGATGTATTATAAACAATGAAAATAACCAACAGATTGATGGTTGACTAGCCCTAACCACCACTAAATTTAATTAAATGCATACAGGTCGTCCTCAATACGGTTGAACCATCCACAATCTGAAACACTTTGCTACCGGTTTAAATTGCATTGTCTCCATTATTATTTTTTTACATTTTTAAATATTGTAGCTCCATGTTCTGTATGTGTTATTTGAAAGTTAAAAGTAAAAGCTGTTTTTTTTTTAATTTAACTTCCTAGCTTTAAAACTTACAAATAGTATTTGTATATTTTTTTTTATAATATTATTGTTGTAATCTAAACCTTAAATAATTCGTTTTACACCCAGCAAAAAATGTTCATGCATTGAGAAGAAAGCAGTGAAGTAAAATGTTTTTACTTCTCTTATTCTTTTAAAAACAGTTGGATAGTTTGATGAGATTTGACTTCCAATAAACTTGCTCTTAACTCTATGTTATTTACTGTAGTGCTGGGTGACATGTGTCACCATAATGAAGGGTTATGGGCTCCCTTAAGCTTCTGGCCAAAGTGTAAAACTCAAGAGTTTGGACTTGACAAAATCAGAATGGACCATTGTCACAAAATATTTTACATAAAAAAATTAAAAATGTATACACAGAATTTTTTTTTTTACTTTATAATGGATAATAATTTGTATTTCCCGTCATCATGGGTTTTATTTTGAAAGTACATTTCAATTAAAAGTTTTCACTTTTTTGGAGATCACTTTGTTCTGAGTTGTTTGTTCTTGTACCATGTTCATATCTCCTCATGCAACTGGCTTTATTTTATTTTCTGGCAATACTTATACCACTGGCCTACTATAAATACTAAACCAGATGTCATGTCACTCACACTTAAGTCAAATACTCTAATGGGAACACAGTGCTGTATTAAATCATCACTAGTTTCTGAAAGTCAAATCTTGTAGCCATGCAGAGACCAGCACAAAGGCAAATATCATCTAGTTATTTTTCTTCAGAGCTGAATTCCCTAGAACAGGGGTTCCCAACCTTTTTTGACTCTAGAGCACATTCTAAAATATCGGTAGGGTGGCGGGCACCACCTATTTTAAATCGACAAACTCCTTCCAGAGGCGTAGTGACCCTTCCTGTCACCCGGGGACAAAACTTTCGATTTGCACCCCCCCCCCTTAAATTTTTGATTTGCACCCCCCCCCCTTAAATTTTCGATTTGCACCCCCCTCCCCTCAAACTTTCGATTTCCATCCCCTTCAACCATTCAATAATGTTTATTAAAAAATTCTGTCTCTGTCGAATAGTGAGAGGCGGGCACATACGAATCGTTCGGCGGGCGACATGGCACGGGGTTGGGAACCCCTGCCTTAGAACATCTGGCAGGCTTGTGTTTAGTTCTATAAACCTTTGGTTTTAAATCAAAATGTTATTAAAGGAATACAAGATAACCTGCTTAGACATTTGTGATTTATCCTCTTCTAAACTTACATGTTGAAGATAGAATTTGCCAGAGAAATAATTTAATTTGTGGTCCTGTCATTGCTAGAAGAAATGTTTGAAAAATTCCATACTAGTGGGTATCAATTACTAAAGAAAGATCTAAGCTTGTAGACAATTTTTTTGCAATATTTCTGCTAATCTGCAGAAATAAAGATTTTAAAATAAGCACTAAAAACCAATACCGAAATACTTAGTACCCCTTTTTTTTTTTGCCTAAAACAATTAGCGAAAAAGTCGAATGCATGGGAAAATAATGTAGTTCATCTGGAACAGCATGGTCAAGCAGCTTAGCACAGAATTACTATTCCTAAAGCCTCAAGTTCAGTTCACTTGTGTAGTACTTAGGAAGAGAGTACTTAGGAAGTTTGTGTGTCCACCCATCTCTAATGGGTACCCAACACAGGATTTTAATTTTAAGGATGCTAATAAAGAAATATGATGCTTAACTGCTTGATAATATCCAACCTAAATATGTATAGGTGATCTGCATTAGCACATCTTATTCTAATTATTTACAAACTTATATTTAATCGTAGTTTTTTTTTAAATTTAATCATAGTTTTTTAAAACAGAAAATTTATTTTTTGAAATCCTATTTTGGTTATCTCTAATTACTAGAAAATAAAATAATGCAATAAATCACTAACAGAACAAGATCAAATGTTCATAATATTTATTGTGTACAAGTATTTCTGTATAGCACAATGACAATAGGAGAGGGCACCTTTAAATGATCCATAAAGATTACCAGGGAACTCCTTCATATGATCCATAAAAACTGCGGTTGTAAAGGGCATTAATATGGCCCATTTAAGAATTTATTTAGAATAAATGACCCATAAAGATATCCCAACAGTAAGCCTTGATGTGATCTATCAAAATAGCTATTATTTTATATTGGGGGAAATAGGGCACACGCCTAAAAAGGTAATAAAACATGGGCAGCTTTATTAGACCCATAAAGATGCCTTATACATACTATGAAAACATAATAGAAAATGTATTCTAAATATAAGCGTTTGCATGATAAACTTTTGAGTAAGACAAGAATGATTAAAAGAATTTCTATTTACAAAAAAAAAAAAAAGGTTATCACTGAACAATGCTAAAATAAGTAGATATGCATTTAGTTAGTGAATCATGCATCAACTTGGTGTGGTTTACAAAAAAATTTGTTCTACAAGTTGTGTGTAGCAATAAACATCCATTATAATGTCCCTTTAATGAGTTTTCAATGATTTCAATATATACAATCTTTATAGTGACTATCCAATATGTCTCATTCCATTCAAATAACAGCAAAGTTTGCTTTGTAAATTTGAAAGATTTCTCCATCAAATAAAAATACAATGGCACATTTGTACAATAAAATTATGTGTATATAAAAATCTATGAGATTTCATCCAAACTATCAGTTGGTCTTTTTGACAATACAATTTTTTTTATCAATACTTGCTGTTATGTGAGCCTGGAGAGTTAAAAACAAGACAAACAGCTCCCACACAGGATAGGTTTGGACCCAAGATTACTTTCTGGATGCTTGAGGGAAGACAGAGTTAACACAAATCCACTAAGCTTTCTACAAATGCCACAACAATCTTATATTTACAGAGCTGTTGACTTGTGCAACACAAGACTCACCCTCTATAATGGCCTATGGAAGTAGCTATAACATGAATTAGAGATGGTGAAAAATTGCCCCCCATATTTTACTCAACATTCACAATTTAAAAAAAAAAAAAGAATACATGAATTCAGATCTGTGACATGATAAAAATAATTGATTAAAACTTGTCAACTTGTTCTCACTTTGTGATTCTTAAAACTTTTAAGAAATAAACGGTTGACGATAATCGTCAAACAATAATGAACATACTGTCTCCTTTCACCCCTCACTAATGTAATCTTTCAAACAGTTGATCTGTTTTTCACCTAGTCCCACATTAAAAACTAATATCACCCAGAAAATCAAATCCACAATTCAAACTTAAAACCTTAAAAAAAAAAGTTGACAATAAACCACTCTGTATTTTACACTCATCTTACAGAAGTATAACCATAGCAACAGGTGAGGTGCTCTGTTGACACCTAGCCACATAGGTAAACTAATATCACTCAGAAACAAAAAAATTCTCACCTTCAAGTCATACAACTCTGCCCACAGCTCCAAGTAGTCTAATGGGAGTTCCACCCTTAGCCCCTTTTAAATCTCCTCAGTGCTAAAGGCACTTTCCCAATAAACAGTAAATGGCTTACTTTAGCATACCATGATCAACATGTAAAACAGTGTCCAGTATCCATCATTAGATTAAAATGTATACAATAAAACAAATGTAAAAAGAGAAAAAAATATATATTCTTACGAAGATTAGTCATACAGAAGTAGATTAATGGCTCTGTACATAATTTGTTATGCATCAGATTAAAATTGTGAGGGGACAGCACTCTATTGATGCATGGTATAAATTCTATTATCCCCCTTCTCCTGCCCCTGATCTCTGCGCCCTTGATTATTCCACTGACTATCAAAATTTTGCGGTGGCCTCAAATCTGCCATCCTCATCTCCATAACTTTAGAAGCACTGTAAATATTCATAAAGCGAGATGCATCGGCCTGGTTGTAGGAATTAGGTATGGGTTCAGAGGTCAATGAGAGGCGAGGCCAGTTGCCTACAGCAGACCAAGAGTGGTGAATGGTTTGATCGGGTGTGCCTGGGGGCTTGTAGTGCATGGTCTGCTGGACATCAGATCCTCCATTGCTGGCCCCGGCAGAGTTGACCCCTGAGGTCGGCCCAGGTGTGTGGAGCTGCCGGTTCATGTTTGGCATGTACTCACCGTTCCCGCCCATGCCCACCTGCTGTTGTTGCTGCCACTGGAGTTGTTGCCCCCTCCCATCGGGTGTGGGGGTTGCCGTGGGGGTTGGCACTGGGCCAGGTGTAGATCCATCCTGCTTAACAGACATGCCCTTATCGTGGGCGACCTGCTGCTGCAATGAATGCCTCACAACGACAGATTCCGAGACAAACTGTTGAGGAATCGAGGGGATTGTCTTCCCTCCATAGACACCCCCTCCAACCATGTTATCATCGTCTTTCTTTATCACTCCATATCCATCTCTATCAATATCCATCCTCTCAGATTTCATCTCCATATTCTGCTGATTCATCATGTGTGACCTTTCACCCTTTTTCTTACCCCGAATCGCTCCCCCACCCCTATTCTTGCTTCCCCTAGGCCGTCCTCGCGTGGGTGTAGACAAAATGGTATTGCTCTGTGGCGGCATGCCTGGCCCATAACTGGGGCCAGCCACCCCCTGTGGGAGTGGGAATGTCATATTCTTCATCCCTACCATATCCATATTGGCCATTTTCATCCCCTCATGGCCTTCTTTTGCATTATAATCATACGGGAACCTTAGCCTCATTGGTGATGTCCCCTTCCTCTTTTTACTTCCTTCTTTAGGCTTATTGGGATTATCTATCTTACCTTCTTCATCAGAGGTTAGATAGTCTTCTGAACTGGAATGACAAGATAATAGAGAGCTCTTTTTTTAAACATTACAACAATCATTTCTCTAATGTCAGGATGGCTAAGACTTGACTCTAAATTTACTAAAACTCAACAGAGAGTAGAGAAAGTCAAAAAATGGTTAGAGAAAGGAATAGTTCCATATTATCCACAAATGGTTTCCAGAGAAGCTAGTACCTATGTGATTCATCCTTGCTGGCCACGCTGATAGGTGAGGCAGAGAGTCCGTCTGCGCGCAAAGTTCCGTCAGCTCGAATGGACAGGTTCATGTTGTTGACTGGAGAAAAAGTAGCAGCAGTCAAATCTGGTGTTGTCAATACTAAAAGAAAAAAGGCAGGAAATAAAAACTTTGACCTACCTACCCATATACCTACCTATGTATCTACTTATAGACACACACACAAAGATAGATATTGCCTTATAGGCCTTGATGTAACCAGCTATTGAAAGCTGTCCACAATTTATTTGAAACAAGTCCTACAAGGGAAGTAACCAAAGGGCAGTCATCAAGCAGCCTATTGCTAAAAGGAACAGATACTTTCTAGCTGGGGTACATCCATGTCTTCAAGAAAGCCAAATGTATGAAAGCCTTTAAGAGTGAAGAGCTAACAGAACAAATAATGACAGTTCAAAACAGAAACTGATTCCCTGACATATATTAGATGCTACTAGTAAATAATTTCAACAACAAAATCAACTAAAGCAGAGTTTTAGTGGTCGTTTCATGGTAAGCAGGGCAAATTACTTCATTATAACAATAGAGGCTTTTTAGATCAACATCAAAATGCTCATACCATTAACTCAAAGAGTTGATTTTTCCTTGACTCAGAAATTTCACTTCATGACCATTAAAGTGTATCTAGTATTTATATTTTCTATTTGAACTTTTCTAAGATGAATGTAGATGATGAAAGTGACTGGCATGATCTATTGGCATTGGCCTGACCAGCTCATTTCAGGGTAGAGTCATTTGGCATGTAACTTACACTGGTACTTATAACATTTGTTAGTTACTGTATAATTTCTATCAAAACCCAACTGTACAACAAAAATCACCACTAGTCTATAGAGTCTTCAGACATGAGAATTTTACCATGACAAACATACACCAATGCAGTTAAGTATGTTTTTTAACAAATAAAACTAGTTCTAAAAATGTTGTACATGCATTTGACAAAGGAGATTTTTGTATGTGCTGACAATATATGTAATAATGTAGATTAACTTTAGCACTGACAGTAACAACTGGCCCATCAAAACAGACAGCAAGGCCTAAAAATCTGGCATATTCTGGTGGAACAAACTACACAACAGAAACTAGTCTATTTTTTGGTGTAAAATGTTGGTTAACTTGTACAAATGGGCTGTTACATTATTGTTGTGACACACGCTCTATTCACCTCAGCTGTATTAGCCTAATGCTGTTGTAAAGCAACTGAGATCTAACATTTGGGTCGTTACATGAAACCTACAGCAAATAAGTGTTACCAACAAATCAGACCTATGCAGATAAAATTTACAGAAGTGGTCATTTCTGGTGTCCAAACTTATATATCACACATGATACCTAGACTTTCAAATAAGGATTATACAACTCTCTGTTAATCAAGCCAACAAACACCTGATTTAAATGAGTTAATCAGATAAGTAAACTTAAAGGATAACTACTATCCATTTCTACAAGGATCTTGCAGGGAATAAACAAAACTCCCACAGGAAACAATAAAAAGTGCAAAAAGCTCCATCCATCATGATGGGTAAGACATGAATTGAAACTATTCAAGTAGAAAAGTGAAATGGGTGTTGATTGGTGCACAAATCCTCACCCTCACCATGGCGTTTCATGTGCTTGTCTCTGTGGTGAGCGCGGAAGAACATCTTCTCACAGAACGGACACTTGAAGGTGCGGTGGTACTCGCCTGTGTGAGTCTTGTAATGACGATCCAGGTGCTGTTTACGAGTGAAGGCCTTGCCACACTCTGTACAGGCGTAAGGCTTTTCCCCTGTGTGGGTCATCTCATGGCGTCGCAGGTGATGACTGCAGATTGATAATTGTTAAATTATTAGAAAATAATAGATGCTTCCAGGGAAATTAAATAACCCGCTGGAAAATTTTAAAAACTTTAGAAGATTGTATTTAAAAAGTATGAAGTATCATAGAATGCAAAATTTTTCTCTAAAAATATTTAAAAAAAAAGATGGTATGAATGAATAAATATTTTTTATTAAAAAAAAAAATTGTTGATGTTAATAGTATAAATAAATTATTCAAAAAAAAATTTAAAACCATCTATTACAAAAAAAAAATTGTATAGAAAAAAAAACTATTCAAAGTGTGGCTAGAAACCATAAGAAAAGGTAGGCCAAAAGAAAATGAGACCAAAGATCAATCCAAGGTTTGTGCCTGCAGGGTTACATGAAACTACAGCCTAGACCTCCTACCACCTATAGCAGGAAACATGTTTTAATGCTTTAAATGGGTGGGAAATTATATCCATCAGATTTTATCACCACAAAAATGTAAGGGTGTTCAACATTATATTTTTTTTCTGCAAGACACAAACCTTTTTGTGACCAAAAACAGAAATCAATAAACTTTCTCCCAAAATTCATGTCTAGTCATCTAAATGGGTGATAAATATTTGATCTACAAGCTCTGCCAAGACTATCAGGAAACATGCAACCCTGCATGAAAGACAAACCTCAGGTTGAACGCCTTCCCACAAATGCCACAAGTGTAAGGTTTGGTGCCTGTGTGCGTCAATTCATGACAACGAAGGTGATGGCTGAAACAATGAGCAAAACACTAATTAACAATGACAAGCGACACTATAAAAACATCACCCCATCGATACATTTAATTTGTAAGGGATAACCAACTTCTACATTACTTTGTAGTATTGATTTTTCCCTCCACTATTAGTATCTGACAGAGGATCAGTTGTTCTGCACATAAAACATATCTCGGCAGCTTCTAAAGAAAAAGTGACTGATTTTCAAACAAAATTAGAATGTTAAAGCTATTACAAAAGTGTCTATGTTAAGATTTCAGAAAAATTGTGTGTCAATGTTTTTAAAGCTTTTAATTAAAATTTAATATCATTAAAAACAACTCATGATGTCATGTTTTTTAAAACTGACAAGGCTCTAATCTCTAACAAAGAAAGACAATGATAGAAGCTGCCTTTTATTTAATTCTTAAAAGCTAGAACATAATTTGTTATGTGTGAGTTTAAAACACTAAGATATTCAACAGATGTAAAAAAAAAAATGTATTCTGATTAAAAAGCTTGTATGAAAGTGTTATCAGCCCATGATGCCCAAAAATGTTTATCCTGGCTTTACTTTTTTACAGAGTCAAAACTATTGTTTTGACAGCAACTTTATAATCTTATAGAGCACCTTATTTTTTTTTAAAAATAATTATTTGTGGTTCATAATGAAACTCATCACTTTTACAGAAACATTGTAGCCTAAACTAGTAAGACGTTAATAATAGTTAAGCAACTTTGTAAAGCTGTATTTCATCACCTAACTAACAAGGACACATTTTAAGTAACTTCTCAGCATGGTAAGATATTCAATGGGGCAGCTCAAATTTTGTCTTTATAGTTTACTTTATGGATGTTGATAGGTAGACAGTTTACTAAATGCTAAAAATGGTCCCTCCATCCACTCCCACAAAAACAAATAACCAGCTGATCTTAAAGCAAAGTACATGTAGCTTGATAATGAAATAAGCAAGTGTGTTTGTGTTATGCATGTGCCTTTACAATATTTAACAAACAAGTTAAGTCACCATATGCGCTCACTTAATGTATAACCCTAAACAGAATGCTATGTCTGAAGCGTTAGTCACACACACACCAAGCTTGAGCAGGATTGAGTATTTGTTATCACAGGGCAGTCAGCAGAGAAATTAAAGCTCAATTGATAATTTGTATATGGGGTCATCCATAAATGAGACATGCTTTTTTTGATGATTTTTACCTCTCCCCTCCGTCACACAGTCACAAAAAGCCAGACCCCCCCCCTATTATAATTAATTAAAACAGTTTTCTAAAATGCAAAATAATGGCTAAAATTAATTTTTTAAACATTGCTTTTTTATAATGCAAAAGTGTGATGTCACACCATCTGAACCACCCCTCCCCCTCATCACACACCATCATAAAATTACACCCCCCCCCTCCCACGAGTGTGACATCAATTATGGAGGACCCCTATATATAACATCAAAAAATGCCAATAATTGTTTTTCCACAGATCTTCTCAAGCACAATAGAAAATTACTTGGGTTATAATAAAGAAGACTTGTATAATTTTAAAATGATGATAGCATCAATGTAATTATACAAAATACACAACATATTATAGCTGAAGCAAATAAATGTTAGAGCTGAATAGCAATGCAAGTGTGGTCATAATTTACTGAGGTGAACTTTGGTAACTTTTTCATCAGAAGAGTCTATATTAAATTTAGGTCATAATGAATAGTTGAGACTACTTCAAAACATATGTGACTCCTCTATGACTCAGAGTTGCTGTGCACTTAAAACTGTTTTAAACTGAAACTATAAATACAAGTAGAGCATAGGGAATCAATTTTGGGATTTTAGTTATTTCAAATTTTTTGTTCTTATGTACACACATTCTTCTTCTTCTTCTTCTTCGTTCTTAATTTTTGAATATGGTGGAGGATTAGACAACAAGTCCAACTTCATGGACAAACCGGACTGTGGTTTCCAGTTTGTCAGGTGTCCCATATAATTTTTCCCTGAGTGGGGTGGGCTGGGGCCAGTGTCTGCCTCTTGCCTGGCCATACAGAGTACAATCCTGGAGTACGTGCTCCGTGTTTTCCGGGGCCTTGCCACAAGGGCACATTTCGCTACACCCAACCTTCAGTTTTTTGTGCATGTGTTGATTTAGTCTGTTGTGGCCTGTTCTAAGTCGAAAGATTATGTATTGTTGTTTTCGTGTTAAATTGTAATAGCCGTCGTCTTTAATGTAGTGAGGGTGTGTGACAGACCACATTTGCGTTTGTTTGTGTTTAATTATTCTTTTTATTTCTTTTGGGTGTAGCGAAATTTCCGGTTGTGGTTTCTTTCCCCCAATTTTTGCCAGCTGGTCTGCGATTCGAATTAGAGGTTTTTTAAAAGTTCAACTTAAAAGTTTTGAAGTCAACTAGCTTGGTATAAACATACAAGATAGTAAATTTGAAAATTCAATGAATCTGGTTTAGAATTGGAATAAAAGCTAATCTTTTATTATTCGGGGTCTATTGGTCTGATTTCCAAACTGTTTTCTCCATTGAAATCAGTGTTAAAAATGTTATACAACTTAACCGAAAAACTCAACATCAGTCTTCTGTGCAACAACTTTAACAGCTGTGGAAGGTTACAAATGCACTGACTCTTTTCTGAGAAAAAACTTTGTACGTCTGATTAAAAGGGTTGCATTCATTCATTCAAAAGCCACAGAGTGCTGAAGACTAGGTAACAGAAAACATGTATTTTTAATGTAAAAGCAACTAACCTGCGTCTAAAACTGTGTCCACAAATGACACACTTGTATGGTCTTTCCCCTGTGTGGATCCTTACATGCCTTCGCAGATATTCCTTCTTGGCAAACATCCTCCCACAGAAGTCACAGCTACATGGGTAGTTGGGTCCATGGTGGCTGTTGGGGTTAGCATGACTTACAGTGGAGCCTGGGCTGTGAGAGATCAGGCGGGCGCCTGGCATCAAACCACTCCTAGCCAGTCGTTCCTCAGCTTTAACCTTCAAAACATTTTTAAATTATTGGATTATTGTATAGTAGGCTACAAAAGAGGAACAGAGGCCTGAGAAACAAGCAAAGGCATATGCATAAAACTGATTAATATATGCATTTTGTGATGCTTAGTTACGATAAAATAGTATGGTTTGATTTAAAAGAAATAAAGATAATATACAATCTAAGGAGACATTTTATAAAAATAAAATATGTAGTGCTAAATAGAATGAAATTTTAAAACAATATAAAGCTTGAAGCAAAAAGTACTAAAATAGTTCATTGACAGCTAAGTTTGGCGTATCAAGCTAAGATGGTAACTCACACTCAACTCCGATGGTATCTCTGTGGGGTAATGGACATAGTGGTCAGTTACTGTTCGATTCTGATGAAGAATGGAGGTAAAATCATGCCTACGTGGTAGGGGAGGCAAAAATTCTCTTGTTTTTTTAACTTAAAAGGGACATTTTAAAGATTTATTTCTCCTGCCTTGTAAAAATATAAAGAATAAATAGGATATTCTAACAGGTTTGTTAAAGACATTTGTATAATGAAATAGTATCTAAATTATAAGTCTAGGGCAGAAAATAAGTTAGTAATTATTAGTTTTAATAAGTGTAGGTTAGAAGTACATTATAGACTTGGCATACTCATAACAACCCAACTGTACTGATCAGAATAGAAAGGTAGATAGGCAAAGATACGATACCAATGGACAAAGCAAATCATTTACAACATATTACAACTGTTGAATAAATGAAACCATTCAAGGGATTGTTAGTTATGATTTAATGTAATAACAACACCATAAAAATACAGACTAACTACAGTCATTATATTAATTAAAATCTATTAGTATCATATTTTCTAAGCTACTTAAAATGAGCTAAACTTCCCAGTTTTCTAAATGACAGAAAAAAAGAAAATATAAAATCATTTTTTTCAACAAAATTAAAGAAATTTTAAAATTTTATTTTGAATTCATTGTTTTAAAAAAGAATAAAACAAAATGCAAAATACGTATACAGAAATCTAGCCGCCCGCCCAAAAAAAAGTTTTTTACTAAGGGATTCTCAACCAAATCACAGTATTTCCAGGTGGATAAATTTTTGTGGGCATTTCCAATAAAATAATTGCAACATACATTTAAAAATAACCGGGCCCCTATAATTTACGATAACTATTTTACAGTAGCATTACAGTCTTATTGTATTGTTAATCTTACACTATATTAAATAACCACCTTTTCACCTTTCGTCAAACCTATGAAAACCACGCAGTTAAAATCATAAATTTTGATACTAGCACTAGTAGAATTGAGACTGCCTGTAAATGTCTGTGCTCAAATGGTCAGAATTAGAAACATTGTTTATCTCACTGTCAGTGTGACCATGAGACACGGTTCATTATGTTTCTGCATATTTTTTTTTATATTTGGCAAAATTTAAGTGGAAACATCTCTAGTTATATCAATATTTATTTAATTACTTTTTACAAATTTATTCATAAAAACTTCCTGTTTTCTGCAATACAAACTTTAATTGAATTATACTGGACTGGATTAGGTAAAGAAGTATTCCTAAATAATTAACTGATGGAACTGCACGCAAAAAAAAGCTGCTTAATTAAGTTCCACAGAAAGCAGCGTGAACTCATAATGCAGAGAATGAATGTTTTTGTCTAACAAATTAGATGCATATACTATTGTAAGAAAAAAAGTTTATATTACCTACTTATAATTTTAAGCTTATTGAGTAAAGAGAATTTATGTAAATTAAGTGAACATGGCAATAAGTAGCCATATGATAAACTGTTGTGGACTAAGGTAGATTTGCTAAAGAAAACCTTAGATTTTTAAAAATGTATGTGGCAGAATTAGATTGAAGATAAATATTTTGGTTTATGATATATATATAGTTAAAGAACATCCTTTAAACTAGCGAGTTTAGACTAATAGCCACCACGGTCTTTTAATATCAACACGTTATATAAATTACTATCATTATATGAATAATGTTCTAACTTTAGTTCATGTTATTTTCTTGAGTGTGTCTTCAAACAATGAATATTTTAAAAAAAAAAACTTTTAAAAAATTAAACCAAATTAAAATGTCCAGTCTTACACTCTAGAATGTAACACATCCTGTCAAAAGATGGGAGTGGTTTCACAATTATTTTTTCTTATATTTTAAAACTGAATTTAATGAATAATTTAAGATAATACATTCATTAAAAAAAATTTAGTGCATAAAAATGTAATTATGAATAAATATCCCACTAAACAAATGAAAGGAAAATAGCAATAGCAAGGGGAATACAAATAAAAAAGATATGGCAGCAGATGTAAAAAAAACTAAAGCGGTGAAGGGATGAAAAACAGAGCTTGCACTTTCTACATACATACTGCAAAGGGCTCAAATTTGGCTATTCCGTTTTTGTCATTAATTTAAAAGTGAAAATTTTAATGGAAAATAAATCTACATTTTACAAAGCACTAATTACATTTTGTTTTTAAGCATGTGTAAAACTTTACAATCAACTACTTTATTTTTTTTTAAAAAAGAAATAGCCAAAAAATAAAGACCCAGAGTGTTTAGAAATCATATACCAAGGAAAAGCATACAGGAATATCAATGTGATTGATACTCATACCTGTATTACAGTGGATAAATCTGTCTGTGAAGATTGATCCTTGACAGTGACTCTTGTCCTACAGCCACCACAGCATGCTGCTGAATGACTTCCTGAAGCACTGTTCATCAAACTTAGATTGTTGCTACCAGAATGGATGTGAACACTATTTTGAAGAAGATTTCCTTGCTGCTGCTGTGATCCACTGAGGTTGCTGGAGGTTTGCACGCCAACCACATTGACGTTTGATGCCTGCATTGCTAAGCCTCCAGCCACAGCCATACTAAGACCACTCCCATCGACAATACTGACACCAGGCCCTCCGCCTGGGATGTTCATCCCTACCCCAGGCACTAAATTGCCAGGAAATGTAAGTAAACTATTACCAGTTGCCATAAGTCCTGCTGTATTTGTACTTGCGACTGAGCTCATGCCCATGCGGGCACTTAATGTAGCCAGGGCGTTACTGGTAAAAGTCAAGCTGTTAGGGTCAGTGTTAGTTCCAGATAATCCCATAGCAACAGCCAGGCTGCCAATAGACATAGCGGTTCCGGGTATCTGAATGTGCTGTGGTTGTTGAGTTCCTGCATCCCCAACACTACATGGCACAGAAATTGTTCCTGTATTAACTGAAGGATCTATCCCAGATGTTACAGGTAAAGCCATCCCAACCGAGCCCATATTAATTGTATTCATGTTTCCATCTCCACTTGTTTCATTACCTCTTCCTGTCTCCATCCAGTCAGATTTTTATCTGTATCACAACCACACACAAAATAGTAAAGAAAATTAATATACATGTCTTTGTTTAAATGGCACTGCATGTTAAAATGGAGTGATCACAACTATTTAATATTTAGGCCTCGTGCTTAGGTGTGTACTACTAAGCTTAGTCTGAATTCTAGTCTAAAAAAATGTGTGATCAGTTACAAAGGCCTTATGGTATTTAACTTCATTAGCCTCCTATTTCAACAGTATTTAAGAGACAAATAAAACTAAATATGCATGTCTAGTAGCTGTCCTATGTAGACTATTAAAAAATATTTAGTTACCTGCAAATCTTCTAATCAGTCAGATTCGAAAAGAGAACTTTACTTTTACTTTAATGCCCACTGCAGCTCTATCCCTAATCAAACTTAACTGCAAAATCCTACTGAATGCAAATCCTGAGTACTACAAAAATTTAATATTAATAGCTTAACATAACTACTTTCAAGTATTTTAAGTGATTATCTGACGTGACACACTGCTAGCAGAAATACTCCTGATTTCATATATAATTTGCTATACTACAGAATAGAGTATATACAATTGTTCTTAACTGGGTTCAATCAAACCTAAGGAGTCAGTTTCAGGGATTTGGTGGAGATCAAGACACACATCCAACTCATGATTTGGAATCGGATTTTGTCAGTGCGGATGAAAGAGCTAATGGCACTAGCTGTGACAGTTCAAATATGACTGCATGACAGTAAGACAGTAATAAAGTGGGCCAGAGCGACTTAACACGAATCAGTTTCGTCATCTTTCAAATCATGAAACCCTACGAGCAACAATGAACAAATATCACGCAACATGTCAATCCCACATATAGGCCAACAGGCATGTATTGATCATGTATAAATTACTTGCAGTGAAGAACATACTATTTATTTCTATATTGTGGCCCGTTAGCCATTAAGTGAATTGTGACTGTCAAGTGATTTCTTTTAATTTTAATCCCTTCACGCTATGTCAAAAAAAAAAGTTGTCAGACGAACAAGTACAATATGGATTCACATGTAAAACAGAACTTGATAGAAGTCAACAAAACAACAGATAAAAATTGATCTCATTCAAGTGACTGACACTTGCATTTTAGTTTAAAGTAGTTTTACACTTAGTTTTAGTTTCTAGATTTACTCTAGTGACCATATAGCTGGATTCTAGAACCTGCACTAGACTAGAGATCTAGATCTAGTAGGCCTATATAGATCTACTACTAGATCTAGATCTATATAATATAGATCTATATAGATACTGATTTAAGTAGGAAAACTCAATAAACACATTGGGCTGATTGGGCCAAATTGGGTGACTAAAAATTAAAATAAATTGACTATTTCTGATTTCTACTTCAGTCTTCAAGAATTCTTCAAGTTATTTAGATTTAGTTAGATCTAGATTTTATTTAGAAGATAGATCTAGATCTAGCTTTAGATCTAGATCTTTACTACAGTGACTAGATCTAGAGTAGATTATAATAGATTCTAGATCTACTAGACCATATTACTACAAAAGTGGTCAAGTGTACTCAAACTAGAATTCTTGATAAACCACTTCTAAATCTGGATCTGTAGTTTGTAGGCTTTATGCTGTTTAACGTCATCATTGACAATCGTACCATGTTAACTTGTCAATAGGAGTCGATACTTGTATCGTTATATTGGCGATGAGTTAGGTCTAACTTTAATAATAATGCAAAATAGAAAGGTTTTCAGTTCATCATTGCCATTTCTGATTTTCTGAACAATTTTTTTTAAGTTTCATTACGAAATTACGGGGCACTTTTAAAATTCAAAATTGAAATGGAAAATTACATTTATTCAACTTACAGATTGAGATGCTGGCTTATTAGTTCGAAAAACAATATGGAACACTCCATATGTTCCATATTTCGTAAAATTTCAAAGCGTCATATTGGTATAGCATAAATTACCATTGGACGATAAGCGGGGTGTCCGCCATTTTTCTTAATGTCGGAACTACTTTTTACATGCCGGAAGTTCAGGTCAAGTGTTAGCCTATCGAAAAAAAATAACTTATAGTACAGGCACAGACCAAGAAATAGCATGATAGATCTATATACCAGGCGATCCGGTCTTATTTTCTAACTCAATTTCTTTAAATACAAATAGACTAATTTTTTTTTTAATTTTACTTTGTTTATCAACTGATTTTTAAAAGTGAATACGTTCATTATATAGTAGGCCCCTATATAGATTTAATATTCTAATAATAGATTCTACTACAAGATCTACTGTAGCCTATAAACTATATAATTTAGAATAGTATACACAAGCACATCTATTAGTGGCTTTAACTTATCCTATAAGCTTATGTAAATACTAATAGTAAGGCATACATCTTTGAAACTTTAATCAAAAGAAAAAAACAAATTGGATCTTTGTATTTAGTTAATTTAGAAAGCATTTCTTTTTGGAAAGGTTCAAAATTAAATTTCATTCACATGCAGTTGATTCATTGTGACTGATAGTTACAGTGCTCTGACTATAACTAACCATAAGAATTTTTTAAAATTGGCAGAATGTGGTTAATTTATAATGTGCAAGCCCATTAGCGAAAAAAAAAGAAAATACTCATCATTTTCAACAATAAGTTTATTACAGAAAAGACGGTGAAAAAAAAAGACGACTACAATTAAAAATAAAAGCTTTTTTATCAGTTTGATCATAAGACAGGATGCAATCGACTTCTGATCAGCAACAAAACACATTTATTAAACCAACATTCGCCCCTTAAATCACAACATACTTCATTAGCCACAACAAAACTTACTCATGTGGAGAGTGTGAGATCTCACATTAACTAAGTTGCATTTACAACCTAATTTAACAACTAGCAACTGTTTACAACTGGAAGGCACAAGTAATTCAACCTTTCCATTTGCACATGTTTTTAAAACTGTACTCAAAATTGGTGTAATAATGGCAGTATATTGTACCTTTTAAATCTTATTTTAACATAAAATGTATCAAGATTTAATTTGTTTACAATGCAACATGTGTAAGAAACTACAGAAGAGAATATGATCCAACAATACACAAGATAAATAATGTGTCATTTCGTCACAGCCTTCTTTCACTTCATTCTCTCCACCTCCAAATTATGGTTTAAAAGTTCGCTAAACAGACATTTTTCATGATTTTTACATAAAAAGCAGCATTGGACTACAATAAGAGCAATAAGAAAAAGATATTCTATCCAGAATACAAATGATAAAATTTACATTTTATAATTTCAATGTGTTATTTTTTTTTAAAATTAAGATCACAATCCTAAGCATGTGGAAGAAACTTGACTTAAGTGTTGTTTTTATACAGTATTGGCATCAGTATTAGAAAAGACTACCATAATATAAAAAGGTCTTGATGGTTTGATCAAATACTTTGGAGATTTTAAATCAAATACTACTTTGATTTTGTCTTTTAAAATACAAAAAAAAATATACAAGATTATGTCTGGTATCTAATCATCATATGCAAGAATTTTTTTTTGAAAAATTGTTAAGTGGTTAAGAAAAAGAACAATAGACCAATGACACTTTGCTCTTCTCTCTTTGATTGATATTTTGTTGGTGCTCAAAATAACATTGAGAAATGGAGTTTTTTAAATCAATAAGCTCTACAAATAAATACAAGTAAGTTGGTCATTTTTTTATGCCAATTATTGGGGAGGATTTACTTGATGGGATAAACAAATTTCATTCTTATGATTGTTATAATAAAAAGAAATTATACATACAAAAAGATTAGAAAATCTGGTGGTTTTCTTAATGGAGTTTTGGTAATCAAATCACAGAAAGACTATGGAATAACTAAGAGTTTACAAAACCTTTGGAGTAGGGGTACTGTGATTCACTAGCTATATTAGGTTTTGCAATAAAAAGGGATTTCATATTTTCATGAAAAAGAGACAGTGTAGTAATCTTTTGATCTTTAATGCAAAAGTTAGGAAATATAATGTAAAGAAGAAATTGTTCATTCACTATCCATGTTTAAAAAACAGCACTATCAGGAATTTTTTGGTACTTGATAAAATGATTTCTAACATGGGAAGCAAAACATTCAAAAAATATATATAAATATTGTTCCATGTCCCAAAAAAAAAATCAACAGTATTACAGTAAATGACAGCTAAAATTAAACAGCATACATGTTAAAACAGGATAAAAATGATTTCACTACATATGTGGTAATTGAGACCAACAATGAAAATAACGAGTCAAGGCAAAATTGAGAATTGCAAATGTCACAAAGAGATGGACAAAAAGAGACACACCAAAAAAGTGGAGCAACAAACTAGATTCAATGAATGTGACCAAACAAGACTAGCAAGTCTAATAGATGTCAAATTAATAAAGAAAACTTTATTCTACATTGCCTCACATTTGCTGCACTTGTATACAAACAAGGCAAAAAATACTTTAGAGTTAACTTCTTGAAAAAAACTTTTTCTAAGAATAGAGTAAATAAATTATTCGTCTTTTTATCATTATATTAACAATTTTCTTTTGCACTCATACCAGCATATAAAATCTAAGATAAAATTATTCATGCAATTCTAAAATGTTCTTTCTATTGCTTAAATTTCCCAACATTCATACAAACATAAACATGTTCTTGTCTGTTAGGCGAAGTACATCACCCTACATGTGTCTGGATGGACTGTCACTGCTCGCGCCAGGTAGAGTGGGTTACGGTCCTCGCTGTTGTCTGAGTGTCTGCTACCTTCGCCACTGGAAAATAGGTCATCACTGGTACGTGAGAGTCGTTAGAAAAGGGGCGGGGCCAGACCCCCCACCCAAGACAAAGGACTACAACACCACACAACAAACGTGGGTGTGAGAGTGTGTGTGACGCTACAAAACAGAAAACCCTAATAGATGACAGATCACATTGATCTATGCCAAGCCAAGTTATCTCATTCGACATTTTTATTTTTAAATTTGAGACAATATAAAAATTGTATTAATCCTTTACTTTACATTTAGACCATACAGCCTCTTATTAGCCTCAACCTAACAATGGTAGGTTACCAATTGTGAATCTAAAAAATTTGCTTTTACTACCCTTGGCCCAACATTGGCAGGTGTTAGTCCTACTATCCAAAACATATTCGGTTAGTCAAGTTCATCTTATGATAAAAAATAAGCTGATGTTTTAAATAATTTCATACAATATAATTCCATGCATCCTAGTAAAGCTGAAAAAAGATGTGTAAATAAAATGAAGATATTGGTGTTTGTTGAGTGTTACTAGCAGTGTTCTGACGTTGGTGCTAAAACAAGAGCAGAGTTCTTGGAAGTGAACCACATCTGGTGATTTCAGTTTTACTTTAGTACTGGTATATTTTAAAAGAAATTTCAGCAGAGTTACAGCGTGCCAAATTGAGATTCTAGCATCACAATGTATATACTGTGCAATGTGTGCCAGGTATTTGTGTTAAATAATCATCTAAGGATGAATATTTAATTTAAATATCTTAAAAGAATAGTGAGAGCATTCATTGTTAACAAAACCATACCTTCTGGCTGAGCTAAAAAAAAAAGGATGATTACGGTTGTTTAAGTACATATAAAATTTAAAATAAATAGAGGAGTTGAACAGGTAACTTGTAAGTAAGGGTACTGTTGAGTCACAGATGCTCCTCTTATCACAGGCTACTGACATATAACTTAAAGCCTATTATATACCTGCAGTGTAAAGCTTATATTTTGTATCAGTGGCCTTAACTAAATTTATCTATTGACCACATTAAACAATGTCTGGACATTAAAAAATTAATTTGATGATTATGCTTGGCCTTAAGTTCATAGCCATCAATAAGTATTGTCTTACTAGTCTAACAAAGCCACCAGCTACCAAAAGAATTATTCATCTAAGTGACTGAATAATTGACTGATTTCTACTATAAGCACAATTATATTTGTATTATCTTAATGTTTTTCTAACATTTGCAGTTAATTTTTTTAAAGAACTTTAACCTATCTGTAGGAATAGAAAATCACCATATAATTCTGATAGAGAAAATACTGTGATTTTATGTAAATGGGCTGAAGTATAATGTAACTACACAATAAGAACAAATCTGACTAGATGCAAACAAAACAAACTAAAATTTGTGTTCATAAAATATTTTGAAATTTACTTCGTGATCCACTAGGATGTGAGCGGTAACGAATACATTAAATCTAGGAAAATATAATAAATTAAAACTAAAAAACCTCCCATAGACGCACCTGTCATGTTCCTTTTCAACTAGATGGTATCTTGCTCTGAAAGCTACCAGATGAGCATAGTAGGCAGGAGCAGGGATGGATACAGAACGGGTACAACGAACATAAGTATGGCACAACTGATATGTCAGAATCTGGAGTTCATCGGCACCAAAGCGGTTGTCATCCCACAGTACATGGTAATGAGATGGACGACTTGTGCCCTAAATAAAAAAAATTTAATCATTTAAATTTCTATACTTTACATAATATTTTCCAGCTAATCTATCAGTTCACTTGTTAAATACACAAACATGATCTACAACAGCATAAAAGAGTCAACTATATTTCATACTCCAATGTTACCTGAATTCCAGCATGAGAACAGAGATAAAAGTCAAACTCTGTTGGGTGGGTGATTCCCTGGTCGACAGTGGTCCCTGCAGGGATGTTTCCACTGCGACCAGTTTGGTCCCTACGGTCAGCACAAAAAAGGCGTGTGTGGTGGCGTTTCTGTACAACAATAAATGTTATACCAGGCTGGTAGTCAACCTCAAGCTTCATGCATGCTTCTCTCACTGCACGCAGTTCATGGCTTAGCACCTGCAATAAAAATGTTTGTCGTAAAAACAAATCACAACATAATTGCCACTTTTACTTAATATTAGCAAAAATCAGAAATGTAACTAATATTAAAATACTGATATCAATCAATATCTGTGCAGGTAGAATTAACACCGCCTCAACATTACTTTGTCCATCTAGCACATCACAGGTCTCACCGTCATTACTTATTAGGATTAGGGGCTACTTTAATCAGAGATGCATGTAGCAAGTGTCCAGAAAGCATAATTAAAAAACTGCATATTTCTGTTTTTTTATAATATAAAAGATGCCTTTTGCTTTTTTTTTTTTTCAAAATGAAATAGAAAAAAAAATGACCAGCAAAAAGTTTTAATTTTTTTTTAAAAAGTGGGGTGAGGAAAGTATGGATTCTTTAGTTGACAAATGGAAAAGGCAGGATTACATTAGAATGCAGAAAAGTTACCACTCTGTAAAATGTTGCACTGCTACTAACATTTTGTATGTCTACTAACCGTACTAAATTGGCCTTCACTGACTCCATCACGATAAAAAATGATACGGGTGGGTTTGAATCTAGTTGAGCGATAAAATTGGATAAGGAGCTCCTTGACCATTGTGGCAAGGTCTCGAATAATCTCCTGCCTATGTTCTTGAACACGCACTGTGGCAGAGTATCGACTAGGGTGTGCATCCATGCTACCTACAACCTGCAAAATTTTAAATTATAATTAGGATTATTTATAATTATGTGATAATCATTAACAGAAACACTTGCAACAATGTATTAATTTTTTGCCTTTAGTTCCTAATATTGGTAAATATTACAAAATCTAACTTTCTTGAAAAACAAAATAAATTTAAATAAACATTTATAATGATAAGGTTCAAAATACAATAAAGACAAGTAAATAAACAAATTGTAGTTATATTTTAAATTTACTATTAAATTTAACTAACTATTTTTTAGGGGGCATTAGATGTTTATGTATGCCTCTATTTTTAGTATTTGATAAATATATAAGTTGATACTCAAGTTTACAAAATAACTTGTGCAGTTTTTATTCATTTGATTTGGTTAAATTTAATTTAGCAAACCCTTACGACTAAAAATTATTTTCTTTAAAACCCTAACAGTATCTCTAAACAATTATTTGCCCTATCTTATAGTTGGGGTCAGTTTTCAGGTTTGAAAACCAGCAAAAATAGCTCAGATGACTGATAGAATAATAATATACTTAATTTGACCACAAACCCACCCACCTCAGACAAGTAAAAGCTTGTAAAAAACTTAAATAACATCATAATAAGCACACTTACAGCTGCTATAGAAGGTTTCAGTGTGTCTCCTGCTGGAGGATGAGTCACATCAGCACCAAGGAATATGATTGGCTCACGGAAAACATGAGGCCTGAAAAATATATTCAATGTTCATTGTAAAAGAAAGATATTAATTAACATTTTAATCACAACTTTTTCTTATCCAGACAGTCGACACTTGGATATTTTGATTAATTTACCTGATACTGGGCACTAATATACTGTTGACCCCTCCTAGCTTGACGTTGATCTTAAGGCAGAGGTTGGACAATGTTTGTGGGGTGGTTTTGTTCACATTTTTAGCTTGTACACACTGGGTAGCTAAACCAAAACAGATGTCACCAACTCTCTTTACTTCAGCTGAAGAGAGATGAAAAAAATTATTTTAACTATAATTCAATTTTGATATTTATTAAAAAATATGAAACATTTTATTAAAATCCTCACCATATACAGGTGTCTTGCCAGGTAAAACAACCACAATGAGTTGCAGCCCTTGATAAGTGTTCTTCAAATATCGAAACATAGGCTCCACTTGATCTGGTCCAGTTGCGTACTTGCAAAAACAAGGCTGACCCATAATTGGCATGCCTGCATCATTGGAGATCCTCTGTAGCTGCTGTGTAAAGTTTCTGAAAAAAGTTTGCCATGAATAATTTAGTTTGATAGACCTAAGACAATGTTACCTAAGCCTTTTTTATATGATTTTATATTTTGGAAGTTGTAATAACAAATAGCAATGAGACCTACCTTAGGGCATCCTCTCTGACTGTTCTCTGGGGGGCAAAACAAGCTATGGCCCAAACTCGGATTTCAATACCTTGATAAAACTGTTTTCCTCTCATATCCCATACACCTTGATTTGGAATAGCTTGCGCTTTTGTCTGTTTATAGTTAAAACGTCACAATCAGGTTTATTTAAAAATACACATTAAGTTTAATTTTTTTATGTTTAATATTTTATCATGGCTCATAATAGTTATTTCCATTAACTTTTTAATTTCTTCAAATATTTTAAAATATTTTTTTTTAAACTTGTTACAAACTAATATAACATAATGCAGCTTAGGATCGTGCAAATTAGAAATATGCAATCTTTTTAAAAAAGTGAACAAAATGTCCTTATCTCTTTCTAAACAACTAAAACAATCTTACAAGTTTAGAAAGCATGTTATGATAATATAGGACCTACATGTTATAAAGGATTGAGGGTTTTGTTAATACATGTTAAACAAAAGAGGTTACTAAAAATACTACCAGTACATTTTAAAATCTCATGAATGGTTATTGCCATGTTAGATAAATTTATGACTATGCAATATTAATGCTACAATTTATGTATACTGTTTATGTATAAAGAATACTAATCAAATGAGACTTACTGTTGAAAGTCTGCAAGGGTTTTTTTTTAAATCTAAATTATTAGCAAAGCATTAAAGCTTTAAAAAACATCTTTCTCTCCACTGTTTTTTAAATTAAATTTTATCTTCAAATCAAACAGGAAATAACCACTAACACCTTTTCTTATACATAAAAATGTTATGGAAATTGTGCCTTAGTTAAAAAGTGAAATTGTTTCTTTTAAAAATCAATGTGTAGCCTGATTCTTGTGGAAGTAAAATAAAAGTCTTGGTCAAGCAAAACCTAGTTGGCTCTAGTGGTAGAATAATTCATAACTTTATTATGTGCTTAACTACATAAGCAACATAAAAACCAAAGCTATCCTGGTACACAGCATTTTGTACAAATATTCTAGCTGTACATCAACTACCAACAGTAAACACGTTTCAGCCACCAATTGTTTGTGTTACTAATACCTATTCAACACCCTAGCAACAAAGTCTGAGGGACTGAACTAGAAGTTTCATTTTTATTTGTTTCGAAGAATTCTACTCTTAACCAGGCATTCGCATTGATTAAGAACTAAAATCCTAACACGCATGGTATTTTTGCTTTCCAGATAGGGCGCATAAATATTTTCTAAAAAAATACAGTTGGTCTAAATGGGAGATAAAGGCACAGTTTCATTATTTATATAAATATTAGCTATAAAAAAATGTCCATTTAAATTTAAAGTTATTCCGAACCTGTCTCTGTCTGAACAAGAGGCCACTTAAATAAAATAGTAATTATCAAAAAATTACTATCTCCCAAAATAAAATGAAAAATGTACAAACACATGACAAGGTAAAAAAAGTGGACAAAAACATGCATTAAACATGTAGTAGATCAGGCACAATAAGTTCCTTAGATAGTTTTTAAAACTTTAAATTTCCCTATCAGATATCACTTTAAGTAGAAGGAATTAGTAATTTTTTTTTTCAAATGAACTTTCTTATGCCAGGTTTTACTGTGGTTTTTTTAACTAGTTTTCACAAAAATAATGTATAACAATAACCAATGCAACAATTTTAACTCACTGCATTAAGAAGGAGCTAAAAGATTTTTTTCCCTACAGGGTAAATCTTGTTTTTCTTTCCTTACCCTTCCACCATATTGCAATTTGGGAGCATTTAAGACTCTGCCAGTCACATCCATCATTTGTGTGTGAATACTGATGCCAAATGTTTGAAGATAAGGGTCCGCATTGAAATTTGCTTTACGGATCTGACCAAGGGAAGAGAAAGGGAGAAAGCCAGCGCGAACACCGCCTTATGAGCAAATAATCAATGAGATTTTTATTTTATTTAGATGGAAACAGGTGATAATGAGACAGGGCTGTCGGCTGATCCATCTTGAAGGTACGATCTCAATAGATTCTGAAGTTCCAGGCAGATCTAAAGAAAATCTTACAAATATCTCCTTTGTTGCAATATTTTAAAAAAAAAGAAACTAATGTTTCTACATAAACCTGGCTCGATATCTATGTGGGAGGAAAAAAAATTTGTTTTAAAAATCTAAAAATGAAAAAAGCCCTGTGAAATACCACTCAGTACAGACCAGTGAATGTAAAGCTTACCACAGTAACAAACAAAAATAAGTCTTGACTGACACAAGTCTACAGTAAAATAAAGATAGTGACACCACATTTTCCCATTGAATATAGTTTTCAAAATGAAAATCTGGACATTGTCATGCAGTGTAGATACAACTGTCTAAAATGGATGTTTGTATTGTTAAAATTATGGTGCAATCTCATATAGTAAGGCGGATATTAATTTCGCATGCTAGGAATGGTGGGGAATTTGGTATTAAAATGTACTGCTTTCAAAGATTTAACTTTACATTTATTTTTGAGATATAAAAACCCATTTTAAATTATTAGCTAAATTCTATTTAAGTCGAATTTTTTCAAAACTTTTAAAAAATCTGCCCTCTCCCTCCCATAACCCATGGCATTTGTAGAAGTTATAAATGTATAACATGCGACAGGTCCAGACACACGTGACCACATGAGATAAAGCAGCACAGCAGACACAAGCTCTGACTGTAGCAGAGACTGGACACGTGCAACTCAATTCTCCTGGCCCATGTCCAGTGTCTACTCTAGTTCATGTCTAGTTAATGGAACTGTTAAAGATTTGGGACACAAAATAAAAGGAGTACATGGAATATTCTTATTTGACTCGTTACAAGAATAATCGCAAATAGTGAAAGTGACCAACAAAAAAATATTCCTTTTTAAATACTTGTGTCAATTTGTCAATTTGAAATAGCAGTTTAGTTAAAAAACCATGTTAACAATCAAGTATCCATTAAAATATTTTTTTGTTAGTCTCATTAAGGAAATATTAGGTAGTATTTGTGGGCCTACCCGGCCACCATACTGCAACTTGGGGGCTGGCAGGACACGCCCTTTTAGCTCAGTCATGTCGTAATTGACACATATACCAAACGTCTTGAGGTAGACGTCATTATTGAAGTCAGCTTTGGTAACCTGTTAGAGAGGTGTGCATTGGTGGACCTACAAGCTTATTATTTGCACTAGACCAGATGATATACAATCATAAAACATGGTCAATGACAAAATATTGATATGGATAACAAAAGAATAAGCTTTAAGGATAGGCAGTTAAAATTTTAAGAGTTAATTTTTTAAATGTCTTCTGCCATCCTTAAATAATCTGATTGAGTGGTATTGCTTAACAGTGACATGCATGCGCACACACACACACTGACTATAGAAAGCTAGTACATTTGTCCAAGTGGCACTAGAATTTTTAGAATTTTACACATCTTTATAGTTAAATTTCAAAAAATAATTTTAAACATGTTGAAACCATATGACAAATGTACTAAGCTCTAATAGTCAATCAATTAGATCCTCATCTCTGCACAATCATTTGATTGGTCAAAAAGAGGGAATATTTGTTTCCTTGCTTTCTTTAGCTTTCTTTATTTTAAAATACCTTTAATTATAAGAGGTAATTACCTAATGTAGAAATGTTTCAAATTTTTTTAAATGTTAAAATTTATTAAATAACTGATCTCAATGAAAAAGAAAGCAAGTTCATATCCTGAAAAAAGGGAATTTCACTGATAAAGAGTCTACAATTTTTATCCAAGTGCTTTTGTCAAACTCTTGTGGTCAGCTTGAGGAGAAACTATCATAGCTAAGAGATGCATCAGCTTCCACCTAGAGGAAATAAGGACAAAGCTATAGCAGGTTTAATTCCATTTTAATAATAATCCAGAGATCCAAACTGTCCTCTTGGTCAGCAGCAAAATTGATGTCCCTTCCTTATGAAGAAATTTTTTTTTAAAATTGTTTGAGTCTGACAAAAGCTCAACAAAATTTTTGGCCTAAAGAGAATAAGGTGAGGAAAAACAAATGATTTCTACATGGTAGAGTTAAAAAGTTGTCATAATATCTGAATGGTGAGATTCTGCAGAGAAAAGACATTCACTCTTTGAACTGAAACAAACAGCAACTTGACAATTTAAAAACAGTTACAATTTTTATATCATACATTGTATTTCAATTTTAATTAATGTTTAAATATATATTTATTAATAATATTTAATTAAATTTTTAATATGCTAAATTAATATTTTAATAACTTTATGTACAAAAGTACTGGATCAACAATCTGCATTTATTTAAATTCAATTCATTAAAACTTACCAAGTTATTAATTTCTTTTTCTCGATCAGGAGCAGATCTTGCTGTAGCCTGTAGGAAGTGAGTATAAAATTTGTAAACAACACAAAGAAAATGAGAAAAATAGGTCAGCAGAGAATAGTCAATGCTCAGGAACTGTTTGCCCTTTTCATCGAAATCCTTATAAATTGCACCTCAAAACGAACAGTATAACTTCTAATAACCCAGACATATAAGATAACTCAAAGATTTTTATTATAAATGGTCAACATACCTTGATCATAGTGGAAGTTTGCATATCAGTCAGTTTTTTAATGCAGCGCTGACCACCAACAATGTTGCATACCTAAATTTAATTAAAACAAGCAGTTACTAGGATTTTATCACTTAATACTGTTTGTAACTAGATGGCCATGAAGAAATATACAACAAGTTACCTCAAGTGGTAGATATGTGTGCTTTTGTTCCTGGCCTACTTGTAAGCAGGGTAGATGAGGGTGTCTGTTAATTAAAAATATCAGTTATATCATGTTAATGGAATTTTTAAACAAAACAACTCAATTGAAAAGCACAAAACTAAGTATAGTTATAGTAATAGTCACCATATGAGGAAGCAAACAAAACTTAATAATTAATAAAAGGCTAAATTATTATGAAGTAAAAATTTTATGTTTAATTTAATTTAATGATTTTAAGTGCTATATAATACAAATCACTAAAAAATTCTAGACACAGAAATAAAGAAAAAACATAATTGTTTTAATGTAAACAATGTAAGTTTTATAAATGAATTTGATTCAACATGTTAAAATGTAAATGAACATACTGTAATTTCATTTTGTAACGTTCCATAAAATATCTTGCTACTGTACATTCTATTGTTTGACCAGATTGGAGTTGCAGAGGGAATCTGAAATTTTTAAACATGCCAAACTTTTATATTTCCTTTACGAAGAAGACGAAAAAAAACTTTAAAAAAAAGGTTTTATTAAGAAGAAAGTAAAAGTGATAAATGTGATGTTAAAGCTCACTAGTTGATACTTACGACTGAGTTTGAGCAGGTCTTCTAGTAACATTGCATACTCTGTATTTGCGTCTCATAGTTCCACAATGTGTGATTTCAACTTTAAGACCTGCAAAAGGTAAATAATATTGATAACTCAGCAAAAAAATTTAAATGACTTGTCTTAAATATTTTGAAGTAACTATAGTAGTATGTCAATTAGTTATTTTATAATTAGGTTAGTTATATATATTTAATACTTACCTTTGATTTCTTTGGTAAATTTAACTCTTTGAGAATCAGCTAATGGTCTTTTCTGCTCCCCAATATCTGGCAAGTCAAGCACTTCACACATAAACTCTATAACTGGTTGTTCTTTATAAAAGGCAGTGGCAGAAACTGAAGAGAAAATAAATATTGCATTGCTAAAAATTGTAAAATAATTCATTTTGATTGCATACAATAGTAAAATCAAAAGTATAATTATTTATGAATCAATGTTTGGGTGACATACCATCAATATTAAGCATCATTTTCCAGTGTGAAGGCCGGACAGACTGATGGAAACCAAACCAAACTTCTCTACCGCCACCAAGAGGATGATCATAGCCTTCAGGGGGTGAGAAAAAGGAACGACCAACTGGCGTGTATCTGCAAATTTTTAACATTTATATACATTTTTACCATTTACATAAAATGTACGTGTCTTCAGAAAAATGGACCAGATGTGGTAAGCTAATATGTGAAAGTATGTGATATTAGAAAAAAAAATTAGGTACAAGACAAAGATAAAAATAATTAAATTAGAAGGCGAAAAAAAAAATTCAAATGTGTTACATATCTAATTACAAATTATATTTTTATTTTCTATAATAGTTGTGCCTTTCATATATAATCAGGCTTGTTTATATAGGAATTAGCATAAATCCTCACGTTTTACTAGGCAAGTGTCTCATGACAACATCCAGCGCTTGGATTGCATCCATTGGAATTTGTCTTGTGCGTCCCTCCAGTGCCTCCTCCAGGGCAAACAGGCTGACCTGGCCCACAAATCTGATTCCAACTTTAAAAACTCTATCTCTTCCTTCCCCAGGCAAGGTAACTTCTAGTTCAACCTAAGATAGATGACATTCAGTATCATAACATCTGATGGCAAAATATTTTCAACTAAGCTGATTACATATGGGCAGTAAAAATATTACAATACAGTAATTGTTAGATTTTAACTAAGCTCATTAGGCTAATGAAATTAGGAGATGAAAAATATTAATTTTTAACACCAAGTTTAAAAGAAAAAATATAAATTATTAGTGTATACATATTTTTTTTGCTTTTAGTTTGTCACTAGCTAACAAGTTTTGCATGAGAACAATAGACAGCAGTCTTACCTTTTCTGAACCTATGGGAAGCGCCTCTCTGCTATAAAGATTTTTCCTTCCATCAAACACTGGCTTCTGACCCTGGAAGATTTTTTGTTGGTAAGCAGTCACCATAGTGTCAATGATCTCTCTGAAAAAGAATCTTGTATTAAAAATATTTTGCTGTTTGAGCATTCATTGTTACACCCTCAGGAGTAAACTTTGTAATAGGAAGATAAAAAGAAATTGTAACTAACAAAAAACTGTAAAAAAAAATCAGTTAACTTCTTGTTAGAATTATAATAACTAAAGTCTGTACTTGTTTTAGGGTAAAAGAGCACATTGTGTAACTATTCAGTATGTTATATTAACATATTTTTGTATAACTTCTTGCTACACTAACCAAATCAACTCACCTGTTTACTCTTCTTGGACATTTATCTGGTGATATATTCACCTCATAATGATGGATGATACCTTTAGGAACTCGCACTTGAAAGTGATTTGCTCTAAGTGAAATGGTCCTGCCCTCTGTGCCTGTGTTTGGTCTAGGTGGAGATGTAAAATCAGCTAATGGGGTTATGGGGGTGGTAAAGCTTTCTATTGGTGCTGGTCCAAATGAAGGTGGTGGTTGTTCCGGTGGGCCAATAGGGTTTGTTACTGGTGGAGGTGGAACTTGAAGCAAGACGAAAATTACATTGGTTGATGAATTCAGAATATTGCAGTAGAAACTTAAATTTAACTAACAAAAAATTACTACATCATTTTTTTAAAGTAAACCAGCAAAAAAAAAAAAAACCATTAATTGTACGAACTGAATACAAGACTAATAATTAATTAAATCATTGAAACCTACCATCTTGTGGTAATTGTGAAAATGGAAAATGTAGACCGGGCTGACCTGCACACAAGGAACAAATAAAACATTTTAAAATTTTATAAATTAAAACTTTTCTGCTGGCCTCATAATTGAGGAATAACGCAACACTGAAATTGACGAAAAAAATGTAATAAGTTCAAGATTGATAAGGTTATAAACAGTGTTTATGCTAAACATTCAAGTCAGTGCCAGCAGTATAAACATGTGACCTGGATAGAACACAAGTGGTATGAAATATACACAGAGTGATATGTACAGATAAGTCTAAGCAGCTTAACACCTGAGCATTTAATAGACATTAGCAAACAGTAATGTAAATGTAAGCTTTTTAAACACCATTATTAATGAAGATTCAGGTTTTCTTTGTTGTTGAAACATGTGGTCTTGAAAAGAGTTTTTAATTTAATGAATCCTCTGGTAGTATCAATGGATGAATCATAAAATCTACTCTTTACAAATTAGGGTTTTTGCACTTAAGCCTAAGAATAAATTTTAATTTGGCAAGCAATGTATATGAGCAGAATTGTAAAGCTATTGTTAGCTTTTGAAAAACAGTATTTCATGATAGAACTCTTAAAAACTTGTTTTATTGCAGCAAATTATTATAAAGCAGAATCTATAAATTATAATACAATTTACTCCAAAAGAAATAAGTTCATGGAGTTGAGATGAAGATATACTCGAGTTAAGTAGGCTTGGTAAAAACTAGCCAGAAGAGACCTAGTTAGTAGTCTGAATCAAATAAGATTTAATCATCAATTTTATTAGCCAACCTGTGAACAAATTTAACATTAGTTATTATTTAAATAGCTAATGATGTAAAATCTTAATTGTGTATCATGATCCACAAAATGTCTATGAAATCATGCCTGTTCTGTTATGAGCAGAACTGAGCACAGGGTTACTGGTGTTTTTATGTGATTTGTGGAGGGTGGTCTTCAAATTTTATTAGCCATGTGATTGACTTGGGTTTGTGTGTGCATAAGATAAACAAGGAAATGAAAATTACCAAGCAAAAGAAAGAAAAGCACAAAAACTAAAGCATTACAAAAAAAAAATTAAATGCATGAACATAGAACTCATAAATCACACAAAAGCTATTATGATAAAAGAATTAATCTAGAAGGAACAGTAGATTCCAACTCTAGATTTTTAAAATTGCATTTGTGTTAGGCAAGCATGCAGAACAGAAATGCTTGGGGTTCTTGAATCCAAATTTTAGTTAAAATTAGAAAAGCAGATGTGTTAGTTTAAGATAAACGCAAACTGGGTATTTGAAGCTTAAAGGCACGGCCTTAGGCATGATGCTCTATACATTGTGAGTGGATGCATGTTACAAAATCTTTTTAAACTTTACTAAGTTTTAAATTTGTGTTCTTAAAGCTAGATGTAAAATACTTTAATATAAGATTTAAAACAATGTTAGATTCCAAAACGTAACATTAAATACAATGAGAACTTACTAAAAGGGGCTGAATAAAAGTTGTAAGAAATGTCATTTGAATAGTACACTAAAAGGTATCTAGTGTGGCAAAAAGTACACTACTGTACAAAAATATCAAAACGTTAAAATTTATGTCTAATTCTCCTTTTAAAAATTTGGAAGCATGTAGCATTATCTTGATATATACTAACAGTGGACCAGCAACTATTACCAAACTGACAACTAATTAAGCAACAGTTTATTTTATTCCATTTCACTACCATTCATATGTGTGTACACTTCTCATAAACCAGCTGTTTTATTTTTAAAATAACTATGAAATCATTTCAATACAACTACTATAACTCATTTGTGTTGAAGTACTGATCTATCTACCTATTACATACAAGAGTGTTTTAAGTAAATAATTTACTATTTTTATGTGCACCATTTTCTGTTAATAAAATTTATACAATAGCCCCTAACATAAAATTATTGCTCACGATCGAGAAAGCTGACTATGAGTCACTGGCCAACTGCATTGCCCAATATTTAAATAAGTAAGATAGGCAAAAAGCATAAATAAATTAACACAGAGGAAGCATGACGTTTTGATATGATTGCGCTCTTACGTTTAAATGATTTATTTACAGGACTTTAGCAACTACTGTATTTATATTAATGCAATGATGTATGAATGATTTTCTCAACATCAAATGAAATCATGACATCAATGAGAACTTATCCAAATGAAAGTGTGGGTACTGATGTAAGATGTCAATACCTACCATTGCCCAAGTGCGGTCCCAAGAAAGAGGGCGGCAAACCTTGGCCTTAAAAACAAAATAAAGACCCACACTTTACTAGCTTAAATACAAGGCATTCACATGCTTCAGCTACTTACTACCTGACAGTTATCAAGTTTTAAAAACTGAGTAATTTTAAAAGTTAACTTTTTAAAAGCAGACACTTTCATTGTTGATAATTTTCCTGCTCAGTTTGATCCAACTTTACTTCAATAGTTTTGTTTTTATTAGCTTAAAAATTGCCAAAGTTATTAATTTATTAGAGATTTTGTAATTAATTTACAATGCTTGTAATTATCTGCTGGACCTATGCTGTAAATAATAACTAACATGAGTCTGATCAGGTAGGTAATTAAGGGGTAAATAATCAAATAATATGGTATTACAAGGTACTTTGTGAATTTTATAAATTAATAACAATTCTTTGAAATTTATTAACAAAAAACAATTTTTAATGTTATTGTTAGAAAGATATAAAAGAACTAAAAAGTTTTAACTTCTTGTATTTATATAAAAGTTAACCAAATGTGTTTACTGTTTATGAAAATTAAGGTTACTAGAAACTTTACATACAACACAAGAATAGCAACTACAATGAATCTTACTATTTGACATTTTGAAAGTGATAATAGAAGATCAATTAGTTTCAACAGACTGTTACTTCTTTATACCTTATTCTAAAAATATTAATCGGTACCTAATTTAATTACTTTTAAATCATTGTAACTTTCTAGATCAGGTAATAGTTAATTTTAACCAGTTTTTGACATGTTATGTTATGTAAGGTTTCAAGCAAACAAACAACAAAGCACTGCTTCTTGATTCTAACATTCAAGGCATAGAATTGCACACACAAAAAAGCAAAAAGAAAAACAATGTAAAGAAACAGAAATCAGAAGACAACTTTTCTTCTAAAGTAAACTGAATGTGAATTAGGAGTTGTGTTACAGTTTAATCCCAATGTTTCAACATCAGTTTAGTAATGTGAACTTTGTTACTAAAAAAAGTTAGTGTCAATAGTAACTTGAATAATGAACAAGTTATTTCAACACTATTTGTTTGTAATGTACAAACCATAATAGTTCATGCCAAATCTATACAGTCCTAACTGGTAATTTCTGAAATCATCTGCAAATGTTTAAACATTTTCCAAAATGTGGAATCATTGCAACTAACTCAGCCATACATGGGAAAAACAAGCAGAAAGGGTTAACAGGGAAACATCTTAATTTAACACAACAATTCTGTTCTTTAAAAATGTATTACATTTGTTTCCCATTCATATCTGATTACTAATTAAAACCCAATGCTAATGATCAAATATAGCTGATAACACCTAATAAAATATATGTTCAATCATTAATAAGTAAAAAATGTATCACTGTAAAGATTAGGAAGAAAACAATTATAAGGAATTCATATTTTGCATCTAAGTCTAGAACAAAGTATTGATGTATATTAGATTTTTAACTTAAAATCTTTTAACTAGCAAACCACACAATAAAAAAGAAAAAAAAACACTACCACCATAAATAACTTGGGATTTTTTGTGGCTTACAATGGAAAGTGAAAAAGCAAAGTGGAATGGAAGTTAACAAATAATGAAAATTTTAAATACTTTTAACACTTTTAACAATGCTTAATTTAAATATCTTTTAAAATTTCTTCTTTTAAATGCTTCAATGGTATAAATTAAGTTAAAATTAGTTGACCATTAACAAAATTACATTAATAAATTACATCAAACAAAAGTTGACATTCTTTACTAAAAATTGTAAATAAAACTTTCAAATAATTATGTTTATTGCACTACAAGTCTACAACTACAAACTAAATGAATGGTGAGATGGAATATGAAATATGAATCATCAACTAGAGCCAACACTAACACAACCCAAACAAATCAGTGTAAGTAGGTCTATATGACATCCATACACTAAAATTCAATAGCAAAACCTCACCATCTTCACTTTTGAAATGAGTGTAGGAAAACATGGAAGACTCACCAGCTTGGGGCTGCCCAAAGCTGCCACCATGACCTGAAACAAAAAATAGCTTTCATTAATCTACAATTTTCTACAGGGATATATTAAAGGACATCTATATATAAGACAATACCCCAATGTGGAAATCCACAAAAATATTAGTTATCTTAAACTTAACTTTCAATACACTTTAATAACAACATGTAAGATGCTTCCTCATCATCTTTTCCCTATTTGGGCCCAAAACATACGGGGCAGATGCTCATGTACACTGAATTATAAATAATTTATACAGGCCTAGCTATTTTTTACTTTCTCGTATACAAAGTATAGAGGAAGTATTGTATCCTACACCTCCCGCAGTTGAAAAAACAAAGTTTTGCAATTTTGTCAGTGTATATGTATCTGTGTGTATGTCTGTGAACACGATAACTAGAGTAACGTTACAGCTTAGTTGATGAAATTAAATATATAAGTATTATTTCAAGTTTGTAGTTCTGAATCAACTTTTCAGCTATTTCCGGAAGTGGAACTAATTCTACTTTTGGTTTTTCAAACTTGAGTACTGTTTCAGATAGATAAACAAAATTTCACATAACTAATTCTCTGCTTCTGTCAAATTTTGAGAAATTTCTGTTCACTGGAAGTAGTACTTAACGCTTTTTGCGATTTCTCAAAAAAAAAACATGAAGTATTATTATTCCTCACAATTATATACACATTGTTTGCTGTTCAATTTGTGAACAATTCTTGTTTCTACGAGATTTTATTCTATTTTTTAAAACTTTAAGTAATTTAAGTAGATTAAAATGTCAATATCACGAGTGGCCATCCCCCGTAGTGTTATAAAAGTATATTCCAGAAAGTTTAGGGGAGATCACTCCCATTTTATTTCTAAACTGAAATGCTTTAGAATATGACTCATATAATTATAAACCTTGATTGTGCTGAAAAATGTAATTAAATTTTAATAGGCCTATATAATCTATATAGATCAGTTATTAATGAGTGCTTGTGTTTAAGAATTTTAATTTTCAAATTAAACCTAATCTATTGAAGTATTTCCAAATGCTTGTTTAAAAGTTACATATTTGATGGCAGCTGAAATCATTGTTATAACCAAACTTAATGCAAATTTGCACTCATTAATCCTCCTTTGTTAGGGTGTTATTAAGTGCTAAAGACTTTTATAAAACTAGATATTGCAACTTAATAATTACTCAATGAGTGCTTTTAAACAGATCCACTGCCAATGAAATCCGTACAATTTTGCAGGATGAATGGTTTTTGCTTTTATAACCCAGAAACATACTGTTTGATTTAAAATTTAACATGTGGACATCTATATGGACTTAAAATCACCCCCCCCCCCCAAATTGTATGTCATGAATGGATGCATGCTTGTATCAAGGCACCAAAAGTTTCAGCAAGTAGTTAATATATTCATTTGTGAGCACATACATTTGAAAGTGAAAGAAAAAGTAGGCCTACTTATTGAAAAATTAAGCCGACGGGGGAATTTTTAGAATGTTTTATACCGGTGTCCGATAATGGAATCTTCTTTAAAAAGGGGTGTTAGGTTACTGGTAGTTAACTAAAAACACACATGGCTGGCTAATGTCAATGCTAACCATGTCCCTAACCCTGGTCCTACCATACGCCTAACAATAACAATTTCTAACCATAAAATTAGTCGAGATTACAATACTACTAAAAACCCAACACCCCTTTTTTTAAAGAAGATTCCATTATCAGACACCAGTATCTATAATCATCCTTTAACTTAATTTTAATACACTAATATGGCTGGCTAATGAGGCTAATGTCAACAATGCTAACCTTGTCCCTAGCCCTAACCCTACCATACGCCTAACCCTAATTTCAAAAAATAAAATTAGTAGAGATTATAATACTACTAGATCTATTACTAATTACTACTAACAACCCAACACATCTATTTTATGGAAGAGTCTATTATTGGACATCCGTATCTAAAATTATCCCAAATAGGCTTAATAAAAAATAAACAAAGGAAAGTTGGTTGTTGGGAACAGTTGAACAGTTTAGTAAAAAAAATAGCCTAACTGAACCATCATAGAAAAGAAAGTAGCCTAATGAAAAGCGGAAGAAAAAAGACATAGGATTTAGATCTAACCTATACAAAGCAGTTTTAGGTTGTAGACACAGGATAGTATATTGATCTTTCAACAGTCTGATTTCTCAGACATGACAACTATGTGTGTGACTGCTTCAAAGAAAGTGTGTAGGATTTGGACAAAAGGCGAGACAAAAAAAATCACCCAAGAATAGTATGTAGCTTTTTCTGACAGGGGCAGACAACCTACTCCCAAAATCTCACCATGAAAAATTTTTGTGTTTTTAAAAAAAATATTTGGGGTACTCTCTGGTTTTTTGGAAATAAAAAAGTACTTTACTTTTTCCTGTCATTTCTACCACGTTTTTTGAACAGGAGAGGATCAGCTCTGTAATGAAGTAAAATTTTCATTTTTCCGATGTTTTTTTTACCAAGAAAACTTCAAGTGAAACATTAGGTAAGCTTGAACCTATTACATTTATAATTATAACATTATTCTTTTAGCAGAAATGAGCATAACTTTACAGAAGAACCATTTACTCTTGTAACTAAACCATAAAAAGTTAAAAAACTCATCAGCAATTTACTTAAATTAATTTTTTCCCTAACTCAGTAGGGAAGCATTTTTCAGCTGCCATCTTGTTTCCGTAATAGAGAATATATAGTAAAAAATGTACTCATCTTAAAACCTTAGTGTTGCAATAAATAGCTGAGACTTTTAGCAGAAATGAGAATAACTATATAGAAGAACTATTTACTCTTGTAACTGAATCATAAAAAGTTAAAAAACTCATCAGCAATTTGCTTTAATTAATTTTTTTCTCAACTCAGTAGGGAAGCTTTTTTCAGCCGCCATCTTGTTTCCCCAATAGAGAAAATATAGTAAAAAATGTACTCATCTTAAAACCTTAGTGCTGCAATAAATAGCTGAGACTTTTAGCAGAATTGAGAATATCAATTAAGAAGAACCATTTATTCTTGTAACTGAATCATAAAAAGTTAAAAAACTCATCAGCAATTTACTTAAATTAATTTTTCCCTAACTCAGTAAGGCTGCTTTTTCAGCTGCCATCTTGTTTCTGTAATAGATAATATATAATAAAATATATACTCATTTCAAAACCTCAGTGCTTTAATAAATAGTAGAAGATTGAAGCTGAAAAGTGAATAACTATACAGAATAACCTTTTTTTCCCTTGTGATAGAATTATAAAATGTTCAAAAAGAAGTCAGCAATTTACTGAAAGTAATTTTTTCTTTTACAGAATTAAGTTACAAATTTCTTCACATATCTTGTGAATTTTGCAGAGCGTGCTGTTCCAGACAGCCCCAGAAATGATCAAGTGATGAAGCTCGACCCCAAAAGCTGCTAGCGGACCGATGAGGATGTTTTTGGACAGAAGATAGTGGCTGGTATGGTTCACCAGTATCTGTTGGTGGACAAAAGGCTCCTGCGATATGTCCTGTCTGTGCTCTTACAGTCTACGCAGGATGTTATGGAACGGCAGATATCCCCTTACTTGACTGGTAGCTATTCTGACCCTTCTGAGGAAATGTTAAAATGGACTCAGCTCCTGCCCACAAGATCCATGCTGAGAGGATGCTGGGATATATGGACTGATGCGCTGAGCTCTAAACACCACTGGGTTTTCTGGATTTCAGGGTGAAGGCAAAGCTGAACTCAACCCTTCAGTGGCTGGGAAGGAAGTCAGAAGCAGAGCAGAAAGTCCTAGAGGGACAGCACTTGGCTGGTAAGGACTGCAATTACTTCAGAAGGTTTTTGAATCAGAAGACTGGGATTCCTGTACAATCTCTAATTGTGGATCTTGCAAACGGTGACCTCAGTTTTGATTAATAGTTAGTGGTGAGTTATTCATTTTATTATTATTTGTTGAAACACCCAGCTATTGAATTGTTTTAATCAGCTCAATATAATGTACTGGATAGTATTGACTGTATTGTATGTAAATTAGAACCTACACATGAGGTAAGATACAATTTTTCCCCTCATTTTAAATCAAAAATGTCTTTAAATAAAAAGCTAGGCCTCTTCATTAATTAGGTATAGCCTAGTTAACTATTATTCTTTGCGTTTCAGGGTTCTTAATTGTATATTTGTATTGTAATATTATAGCCACAATGTAGTTTTAAGTTTTTAAAGATAGTGCTCTCTCGGGCCTAACAATTTAAATTTTGAAAGAAAATTATTTAGGCCTAGTATTAATATTAAATTTTTTAATTATGCGCAAAATAATACCAAATTATTAGGCCTATAGGTGTAATTAAATTTTCTGTGTTATTTCAGGGCTGATATTATTGTAACTTTTATTTTTGATAAATTGTGATATAATATTTCCAAATAAAAAATTTTTAAGATCATTTTGCTGTTTTTGTTTTTTTGCTTTATGTGTTATCTCCCTTTTACAATATTTGTGTTGTTCGCCTCATTAAAAAACAAAAAAAATGATTTCTCAGCTTCTAATTAAGCTAGAAATATAAATGAAGTATCTATGTCATGTTTACCTTTAACACTATGTAACTAACAGGTTTATAAGGTATAAAACTCAATAATTCTAATCCAATGCTACTACCTACCCAAGAACAAAGAAGAGACTCTGATTTATTCGATTATGACGCCATGTTAAACTATGTAATTTGAAAGCGAAATTACCTGGTTGTATAGGAAACATATTTCTTAGTTTCCTTAATCTGAATCCAATCAAAATGGATCGAATTAAAAAATAGTTATTCTACCCTACCGCCGAGTAAAAATATTCATGGCGGTGAATATGTTGTGGTTCGGGTTCCCTTCCGTCGATGGAAATATGGGTCACGGCGCCTCGATTTGAAATTGTCTTTACTATTGTAAAATCAGGATTTAGTTAGGCCTAGCATATGTGGGACGAAGCTGAATCATACACCACACTCATTATGTAGCGTTGTCAATGTATCAATGTAGGCCTAACGTCACCCCAAAAATCTGCTTTGGTAGAACAAAAGTCAGTTAATAGCCATTTTAGTTACTAGATTTAGAAATCTAGGGGCTGTAATATAGCCAGAGAATGTTTAGGCCTACTCGAATCAAACTACTCGTATCTGTCTCAACTACTAGTCTATCAACTCTTTACCATTTAACATAATAAAAAGTATGTAGAGCGCTAGATCTAGAGCAGGAAACCATGTTGATTGTTTATTTCATACATATTCTAATTCTAGATGTAGGCCTATATATATATATATATATATATATATATATATATATATATATATATATATATATATAGTATTGTATAGGCATAAATTAGATGATATTAAAATTAAGTTAGTTGGATTCTAAACTCTAAACGAACTAGACCTAGCCTATTAGAGCTAGTTCCACAATACGAGTTATTAGCCTAAAAATTAAATCTCTACTGTTTAAAAACGGCCTATCTGCTGAGCATGAAAGTACAATGTAAGCTATATAAAAATTGTAAAAAATATCGATATCTTTTTTTGGGGGGAGGGTGGGTTATAGGCCTAACATTTAACAAACATACGATAGATATAGTTGCTCGAATATGTAAGTCGCATAAATCATGCTTACGACTTTGACTTATACGCCTACTTATCTTGGAACTTTAAGTTATAGCATATAAAATGCCCATGTCTCTGGAATAATTAGCTTATTCATCATAATAAAAACAGTATAGTCCATTAAATAATATTTATATTCAATGTATATTCAATTTCAAAAGTAGTCATTACGCTTAAACAAGATTAGATAGAATATATAATCAACAATTATTTATCACTATGTGCATACAAACATTTTCTATGTGCTTGACAAAGTCCTATAGTTCAGGTTTAAATTTTTAAAATAATTTTTAAATGCAAAAGTATGTCATATAGGCTGTATCGTTTCTAAAGTCTGACCCCCCCCCCCCTCAGTACGATGACCCACCCCCACAGTTACGTAAAACACGCAAGGCATGCATATTAATATATGGTGCGCGAAATTAAACTTGGGGGATAAGTTTCAGTCTAAATTATTTTGAATTTATATAATTTGATCATTCGGCGATTGCTTTTTCTCCCGCAATGTTATTGCACCTGCTTAATTATCTATAATTTAGTAAATTAAAAAAAAATGATCAGTTTTGTTTGTAACTTGACCACGTCAAGTTCACGAACCTCATCTTCATGTTAACAGTTTACCACAGTTGTACAAACTTATATGCGGCGAATTAATTACATGCTAAACTTTGTTTTGTGTGCTTTTTTTTTTCTACACGGACACTGCAGTTTTAAATGTTGAAATTCTCTATGCAGATTACAAATTTTGTGTTTATTGTAACATTATATATATTTTATTGTTTAATTTAACGCGTGGAAGCCCACATGGATTGGACACCCATCCTCCCAGTCCACATAAACAAAAATAGTCCAATGTTTCCGACCCCAATTTCACCCCCCCCCCCCCCTTTTTCCGTGTGGACGTCACAAAATGATGGTCTCTAGTATTAGTATTGATTAATGATACACGACCGCAAAAAAAAGTTAAATTATAAAATAGCACCAGATATTTATTAATAAATAAAATTAAATGACTAGAACTTAATAATTTGGTTTCTTGAACTGGAGCTTCCCCCCACCTGTTATGTGTATATATTTTCTAGTAGGGGTAATACAGAAGTAGAATAATGGGCCTAGGCTATAGGCCAGCTCTACATTGGCTCTAGGATTCTAGGCTATTTTTGCTAGGCCAATACCGATTTTATTCAGTATTTTGTAGCATAGTCTTTAGTATAAATTTATTTATTTCAAGACATTTTTAAAGCTTTACGCTACAATACATACCAATATTGGTATTATAATATTTTAGCATGGATAATTAGTTTCACGTAAGTAAAATATGAATTCCATACGGACTACTTTTTGTCACAAAATCTTGCGTAGCCTCATTACATCCGCTGCGCATTTTCTTCCTTTTCACTGTAGGGCCTTTCACCATGAGGTTGTAATGTAGTTGTGTGTTAAATTAAATAGATAGTCTTATATTTCACACCACTTTATTAAACCAAATAATCATCTACAAACATAAACCATATCTATTAAACTACTGTAACTGAATTTCCATTTATGGTTGGATGGTTTATTTAAAAATACAATTTTAAACTGATGCCTATCTGAGGCCGATGACATGTCGAGTTTTTTTTTTTTTTTTTTTACAATGGCGGCATGGAATCAAGAAATAACACATTTCTCGAATTCACTTATTCTGTCTTATTTTAACAAGCTATTGACTAAAGTGTTCAACTTTGTAATTTCAGTACACTCCGCCTCCAGAAGCGCCTGGCTTCAAAGGTGCTCAAATGTGGCAAAAACAAAATTTGGTTAGATCCCAATGAAACAAATGAGATTGCCAATGCTAATTCACGTGAGTACATTTTTTATTAGCATTTCAACTCTATATTAGTTTTTTTGTTTGTTTTTTATTTAGATCTGTGTAGAGCTTCATTTTTATACATGAAATAGTTCAATATGCACTGATCAATGAAGCATCATAGCTCCAGAGATAAAGATCCAGATCCATGTGCATTTACATTTTACAAGTCAATGATGCTGTAAGAAGTAGTAGATCTAGTTATATTAGTGAAATGTCCCAACAGTTATCAATTATTTTGTCATATTTGGGTGCCATGAGCCAAATCTAATTTTAAAAAAGTTTTTTGGATGTATGGTCTACAGTCTGTTTTTGTGTGTTCTTATTTTAGGTCAAAACATCAGGAAACTAGTTAAAGATGGTTTGATTATTCGCAAGCCTGTGAAAGTTCACTCTCGTGCCCGTGTCCGCAAAAATGCAGAGGCTCGCCGTAAAGGCCGTCACATGGGCCATGGCAAAAGGAAAGGTATAGCAAAATACTTCTTGAGATTTTTTTGTTTCAAATATATCCTAGTTACTGAACCTTTTTTTCTACATTAATGTGAATGCCATTTTTTTAAGGTACTGCTAATGCCCGTATGCCCACTAAAATACTTTGGATCAGACGTATGAGAGTTCTTAGAAGACTCCTGAGAAAGTACCGTGAGGCTAAGAAGATTGACAAGCACTTGTAAGTATAAATATTATATCAGATATTTATGATGGTAAATCTCCTTCCTATTGTATTGATATTTTTTCTTTTTCTAGATATCACCTAATGTATTGGTGTTTTTTTTTCTTCTAGGTACCATGAATTGTATATGAAATGCAAAGGTAATGGTTTCAAGAACAAGAGAGTTCTTATGGAGTTCATCCACAAGAGAAAGGCAGAGAAGGCTAGATCCAAACTGCTTAGGTACTTGTCTTTTTTCTTTTTTTTTACCCCCCTCCCTGTACCCCCATTAAAGGTTGTACTGCTAACTTTAGATTTCTATTTTCTGACTATTGTATGTGTGTTATTTACAGTGACCAGGCTGAGGCTCGCAGACAGAAGGTTAAGGAAGCTCGTCGTAGACGTGAGGAGCGCATTGCCCAGAAGAAGGAAGAGCTGTTGAAAAATATTGATGATACCAAGAAATAATTTGATTGTAATTAAAAGATTCTGTCAGTGTAACTAGATCTTCTGTTGTGTGCTTTATTTTTATTTTTCCCCTTTCATGATGCTGCTGCTGTGTCTGTTGAACACTTTTGGTGGGGCAGGGGCATCTTCAATTTTGGAAGATGATTGTGTGATCCTCTGTAGGTTGATAAGCTCAAACGCTGGCTGATGTTGGCTAGAATAATAAGCTACTGCTAGGTCTGAAATCAGTCCAAAAATGTTAATAGTACCAGGTACTGCAATACTTTGTGTTAAATTAGGCCCTTTTTTTTTTACATGCATCCTTCAAACTATGTATACATCATTTATTGGTACTTAATAAGTAGATCAACTCATTTAAATATGTAATGAGCTGCATGGAAGTAAAATACATTTCTTCTGAAGTAATGGTTCATTCTGAAACATTTATCCATAAGCATTGCTTAAAGTTATTTCCTTGTGACCAGTGGCAGTTTTTAGCTACATTATCGTGCATAGATACCCCTAAATTCACATAACATGGAGTCATTTCAAGTCTTTTACAGATAAGCACCATAACTGCATATTGTGAAAAATTAAACCCTGCAGCTTTTAAGCTCAAATTTTAATGGCAAGTTCCAATTTCACCCACTTCATTAAGATGAAGTACATGTCAAATTATTTAGCGGAGCTTATCTGAAAAAAGATAGACACAGTCTACACATCCCCACCAATAACATTAATGGGTCAAGTGTCACCTGTAACCATTGTGGATGAAACCTCCCTACTACTACTACTTTTCAAAGTACATTTTTTTATTTGATGTTAACACTTGGAAAGGTCTCCTGGTGCTGACAACCTCTTGACGTTCACTGATCCCCACCCTCATTGAAGCGATCATATTTCTGTTAATTGACTACATAATTGTAAACAAATTCTACAAGGACAATAGCCAATAAGGCAAGTCTTGGCTTAGATATACAGTATATAGGCCTATATAATGTGGAGACAGGCCTACTGCAGTTTGGAAAAAAAATAAAAGCAAGCAAGTCTGATTGGAAGGTGCTGTGGAAAGCCAAAGCCTTCCATGCAGTTTCTTTCAGTCATTCATCTCTCTTTTAAACCCTCCCCCTCACGAAATAGAATTTAGAATTTATATAATATAATAAAAAACAAAATATTTTACGAGTGTGCCCCCGACAGGAAAGTCCAGCGTGCAGCTTTCTCTTCTCCCCCCCCCCCCCCCCCCCCCGCGTAAATAAATCTGAAAGAAGCCTTAATATGAACTATCACTATCTTTACGCGGATGGGTGGTGGTTATGTTTGAGAAATCGACAGAGGCGTAGCGACCATTCCCGGGGATAAACTACCCCCCCCCCAAACTTTCAATTTGTTTTTCCAAGCCATTTCGGCGCCCGGGGACATATGTCGTCGCCCCCCCCCCCCCCCTCGCTACGCCTCTGGAAATCGGCTATTCAGCACATAAGTGCCCCTCCCCACCCAGACCTCATAATTTTCACTTAGTGTATTACTTAGAACCTATAGTCGCTAATTATTTATGAATGGTTTTATAATTTAAACTCGTAGACCTAAATGAAAATGTTATTAGCTTATATTATATATATATATATATATATATATATATATATATATATATATATATATATATATATATATATATCATTATGTGATTTCTTTAGTTTGGTATATAATCTTTTTGTAAAACACAGTTACATAATAGTAACACTTAAAATATTATGGACCCTTACTTTAACGTAGATTAGGGCTATAGTCTATTATTATAAGCCTGTTAAAAATTGTTCATTAGAAGAACGTACATATGAAAATGTGCTTTTAGGTAAGGTTAAAGTAAAAGCAAGGCTACATCTCTTGTTTTAAATTTAACATCTGTTCCTTTAATCGCTTATTAAATAAAGAAGGCGCAATAACAGGTAAGCTAAAGGGGTCAATATGAGAGTTCTTACCTGTTCGAGTATCGATACCAATAACTTGTATAGGTAATATTAAAATACTCGATACTTACACAGGTATGTAAATAATTAACAAAGGCATACGGTTAGATAAGACAGATTCTAGTAGTTTACAAATCAGTTAATCTGTATTTTTTAACGATATTATACCTTTGAACAGTTCTTAACAGTCAGTTAACGAAGATTGGGTTTATAGTATAACAAAAATGTTTCGAAATAGAACGTGGTATTGGAATCGTAAATAAGTTCAACATTTCGATATCGCTGCGTGAACCAGGAAACGACGCTGGATTATATATGGAGGTGGCCATAACTCTGAGATAGTTAACCGTCTTCTTGAGATATCGCCTGTGACATTGGCTCCTTACTAAACAGGTAGATCTAGATAATGATTTTTAGAATACTCAGTGTAGTTAAATGGGGAAAAGATTTCGGTCTATTATTATTGCAGTTCATTCACGAATCACATTAACTTTCTATCCTACAAAATGTAACAACAATCACTGACTGAATTGCTGAGAGACAGACTTATTCAGTAATATTCAGTGAATCAGTTTATTTTATTGTGTTGTCACGCCAAAGACACTGCATTACAAACAATAGCAATAATGACTCAATGAGCGATTGTGTTTTTTCCAATAGGGGCATATTTGTTCTCCAATGGTTTACCATACTTAAGAAGTTAAGAATAATAGGTATTAATAATTTAATAGGCCTAGATGATAGTGTGTGTGTGTGTGTAGTAAGTAAAATATAGGCAATAGGCCTACTAGTACTAGTTATAATATATTATAATAGTCTCATTACTCTAAATGAGTATGGTAGGCAAACAAATATGCATTTTTCAAATGATTTGAGCACTAATGGACACCAGCGAGAAAAGTCTCAAAGGTATTTGAGAGGTGTATAAATTCATTAAAAAATCATGCACAGCGTATTTACAATTAATATGGTTATAAAATCCTGTCTATCTGGTTTTTTTCGGACTTTACTAAAGATTGGATGTATTTGATGTTTATAATATTTTCGGTAACTAAATAAAAATTTAAAAAAAAGCAAAAACAATTTGGTTTTCACGTGTAATGGCGACATAAACATGGCATCCTGCTATTGGATAGGCTGCCATAGATTTTATTGTACACATTGTAAGCTAAAAATAGAAAACTAGGTCATGGGGTTTTAAATTTGCATTGTAATTTAAAAACTTGATCTGCAAAGTTTTGTAAACAAATAGTTATCGATCACTAAGTAACTGTACAGCCAATCAATATTTGTCTTACGAAAGTGAAACATCCGGTTATAACTTAGGCTTGATGAAAATAAATAGAAATGTAGCCTTAAACTCAACAAATTATTTTCAAGTTCTCTGGATTTGCAACTTTTATAGCATTTATTCTAAGAATATAAAATTTCTAAATTAATTTTAGGCTTAAGTTTTTATTTTTTATTTTTTTTACGGTCTAAATCTAAAAAGCACGTTTTTATTCCATGACAACAACATTATGGAAGGAATCTCGTCAACTCGCTCGCCTCCATTGACAATTGAGGAAGCCTAACTGCAATTTTAAGCTACTTACATTTCTCAATGTTGCAAATAATATAATACATTTAAAAAAATGAATGTAGATCTGACTACTTTTAATTATTGCTATAAAATATAGATCTTATCTACTAATCTAGTTAATACTTATAAATACAAAACATACATACATTTTATGGATCCACAATCATTTCTCAATACAACTGTTTATTTTTTTTCCTCAGCCATTTAATATTATCAGTCTACATGAGATGAGAAGAGCTCTTCTAAAGTTGTGATCATAAAATATTTTTCACTGGAAAAAAAACTTTATTTAGGATAAACGCTACCTTAGAAATCTACAGATGGCAACTCCGCGAGGATACACAGTAGACCCAGCGGAACCTAAGAGACCAAAGGTGACCTCCTATCAAGTGAATGATGAAGACACAAAAATTAGTTTCTCTTGTGGAAATGGATCACTTTTTCTCAAGCTGTCTTCTGTTCTAATGTTTCTCAGCTGTATATTACAGGTATGTTTCTGATCAATTTTCAAATAAAATGTCCTAACCTTTCAGAGGCGTAGCGACCCTGCCAGGGGACAAACTTTCAATTTTGCACCCCCCCCCCTTTATTTTTTTATATTTATAATGCAAAACTTCTGCTAAAATGAGCTTTTAATTTTTTTTCCAAACAATTTTGGCGGCCCATATGTACCCCGCCCCCTCTTTGCTACGCCTCTGTAACCCTTTTAAATTAGAGACAAAACAACAGTCTTTCTGACTGGTTAAAGACTGATAAAGTAATGACATGTTTTATAAAAGATAGTCAAATTATTTTAAAAGTTGTATGGTTTGTTAAAAAAAAATGTAAAAAAGAATTCTTGATATTTTGAAAATCTCTAAACTAAAATCCATCCAGATCATATAGTTGTTTAAATTCTGGGGGTGCTGAAAGAATTTATTAATAAATTTGGCAATGTTTTAAAATGAGATAAGAAAAACATTAATAAAGTAATTTTTTTTTTCAATTTAGAAATTTAAACCATTAACAACAGAACCTCATTAAAATAAGGAAGAAATTTAGTTTTGATAGATTCTTTATTTATATTGCTAATTAATGTGAGCAAAGAGATAAACTAGAACATTGCTGTGTTTATTGGTTTTTCTATTGCGTACACTAATCCTAATAATTAAAACAATAATAGTTTTTTTGCCAATTGGCTGCTTTTTCTTTTTGTGTATATTTTTTAACCAATTTTATTATTTCCCTTTAAACTGGTCATTCTATTTACCAAGTAGAATAAGAAATAACTGATTATAAGTTTTGACTACTCAAGCCAATGTTTTCTTGCAGGTGATTGCTATAGGCGCCCCCTACTGGGCAGCTGGCTGGCGACGCTCCAAGATGTCATGGCATGAAGGTGTGTGGATGACATGCTACAGAGCTGAACTGGAAAACAAATGGATCTGTGGAGCTTATGACTACCTTAACCCAAGACCTGGAGTGCCATGTGAGTCATACTTTTCTTTTGGATTATGAGGTGATAGAGTAGATTATCCTTGATTACAAGCACACATTGGTGTAAATTACACATGATTATAAGTATACATCCTTTATGAGGTGTTGGTGTAGATTACACATGATTATAAGTATACATCCATTATGTGATGTTGATGTAGATTACACATGATTATAAGTATACATCCCTTATGTGGTGTGTAGTAACTTACTCAAGATTACAAATACACATCCCTTATGTGATGTTGGAGTAGATTACACATGATTACAAATATGCCTACACAACCCTTATGTGATGTTGGAGTAGATTACACATGATTACAAGTATTCCCCCATAGTGTGGAGTAGATCCATCTATTTCTTAAGGGAATAGGGTGGAAACCACTTTTCATTGTCACACTACTTTACCCTTGAACACAAATGAGATCTCTGGATTGTTCTTATTATTTTACTATTTTTAATAAGCTTTAAATTTGTAGCTTTTAAATAAACAATTTATAAAAATGTTCAACTTATAAAACATTTAATTTCTTTTTTAAAAATGCATTTGAGATAAAGAATAGGTCTTTAGATGTAGGTTATCTATTTCTAGCTTATAATATAATTTCCAACCTTATTTATTTATTAAGCTCATTTTATTGTTATTAGTTATTGTTTAGCTTAGAAAAAGACAACAATTTTTTTAAACCAGTTATGTCCCTTTATTATTAGTCAACAAAAAAAAACAGCCTATGGTTAAATACTCAATCACAAATTATTTAGTTTATTAAAACTGTTTTGTTATACATATTTAGATTTTTTCTATTATAAAATAAGAAATATTTCCCCAAAGTTGCTTAAATTGTATAACCATTTTGCTTTCTAGTTTGGTATGCCGCAGTACAAGCCATGTGTCTCTGTTCCATTGTCATCTTTATTCCTGCCCTCCTCATCAATTTATTCTACACGATGCACCCCAAGGGGAAGATGTTTCGCGGCTTGATGTGGTTTAACTTTGGACTGACTTTGGCCACAGGTAAAATATTTCTTCTTATTTCTTATAAAGAATTTAACAATATCTACTGGAAAAGTAACACATTTTTAAAAATATCAAGATACAAATTGTACTTCTTAGTTTTTATGATGAGTATAAAATGTTTACCATAAAGGAAATAAAATTAATAGAAAAATGTACAAACATATTTCAATACAGTGGTAGTTTTTAAGAAATATTTTTTTATTTAGAGTAAGCAAATTGTGAGCTAAAAATGATTTAACCCGTTATTTGTAAGGGCTGGACACATCATTACTCCTTCTAGAATTAATTATAAATTTAGGGAAAAATACTGTTTTATGTCTGCAAAATGATACTTGTGTTCATTTTTTAAATCTTGTTATAATTTGGCATGCGCAAAACTCAAGAGCAAAAAACTTAGCACTCCACCACACCGCCATGGCAGTCAGTAATGTTGATTTATTAGAACAGTTAAAAAAATTAAGTTTTATTATTTTTATTGTAATTATTACTTCAATTAGAGTTGCCATTTTTTCAACCCGCAGCCCTGCTACCCCTGATCATGGTCATCGTGTTTGCCGCGGGTCACCCACGACGAGACAGGTTCCCCATCCCATACCTGGACCAGGACTACGATGATTCACCATTTGAGTTTCATTTTTGTTTCATTTTTGAGATCTTTGCTGTGTTTGTGTCAGTGGGAGCTTTTATCCTGGAGATTGTTGACCTGCGGAAAAATAATTAATAGACCGTAAACTTTAACATTTATTTTTAAAATAATAAATGATAAAGATTGATCCTCAATGTATCCTGAATGTTTGCATCATGAAATTGAAACACTGGTTGTTATGATATTAGCCAATTTTTTTTCATGATGTGCCTTTTGATTTGAGTGAAAATTACATGAGGGTGGATCTTTTTGTAGATATGTTCTGTATTGTTAACAGCTCTGAATTGACTGTAAATAGTTTTGAAAGCAGTAAAAATGTACTGAAAAATTATGCTTTTGTAAATAAGATAAGAATTTTCTAAATGTAAACACAAGTCAGAAGTTGTTTCCGTAAAATAAAATAGTCTAAAAGTTATGTAATTCAGGAAGGCTTATATCTGTATATAAAAACAATGAAAGGAAAATAAAGACTGTCTTCACTGTACTTTGTTATAGCCCATAGCTGGCATCTCTTTACCAAGCATATTAGTTTGCTATTTTTAAAATTCAATATGAATACTTTTCTTAGATTAAAAAAAATGTTCACCATAGATGTATAGAAAAATTAGAAAAGCTAAAATCCCACAATTAATATCGTAGGCTTCTTCTAATATTTTTAGCTGATTTTATAGGTGTATCTAATGTTTTTGAATACGGACTATTATGAAGTGTAAATACGATTTTAACATTAGTTAACAAACTGCTGAATTTGAAATGGTATAGTTTATATTTTTTCATAACTGATTTGTTGACTTGAACATTCCATCTGGATCAGTTGTACCATGTGTACCCTATGACTGTATTCATCAGTGTCTGTCATTTCTTTTTGGTGTTGTAATACATTTCTGGCAGCAGTTTTTCTATTTTTCTACTGTAGGTAAATGCTTCTGAGTTACTGGCTATTTACATGTATACCAATCAAATTTTTACCCTTTATTTAAAAAAAAAATACAATTTTATTTAGCAAACTAAATTTTAAGTGCTTTTTTTTAACTGTTAGATTTTTGAAAACTTCCAATCAAAAGACACTGTTGTTTTAAGATTAATTTTTTTCCATGGAAACTTGTAAAGTTAGCTTAGAATACAAAGTGTAATTATAAAATTACAATTACAAAATTAATAGCTACTGTTACACTAGATTTTTATGTGATTTTTTTTTAAAAAATGATTTGTACCATATTTATATATAGGCATAATGTTTTTAAACATAATATACACAATATGTATTTATCACAATTTGTTTTTAACAATTGTAAACACAAAAACAGAAAGTGCTGTCCCTGTACTATAAAACTTTTTTCCATGGTTTGAAGTATCTGAACTAAAACTCACTTTGGCAAGTCTTGGTCTGCACTGATAAATCTTTAATGTAGGGAGAACGTTGTACATAGCATTCCTGATTCTACCTGAGTTCACATTCTGTAATAATTTTACATTATACAACCAAGTTTATTTTTAATTACAATAAAATTATTTTACCCAATTATTTCAAGTCTTTATTTGGCATAATATGGTAGCTGATTGATCTGGATATAGAAACTAACTACTGATGATGTCTAACCGTGGGTTGTATTATCTATAGCAGGGGTCTCCAAACTACGGCCCGCGGGCCCGATGCGGCCCTCGAGGTCCTCTCATCCGGCCCGCGGAGATCATTTTGCCCACGGAAAAAAAAAACGTTTGTTGATGATGGCTGAGGAACTTTGTCCAGAAAAATCAAAGACATGCCAGGAAGAAACTGGCCCCCCAACTGAAATTTGATAGTTAATGCGGCCCTCGGACTGAAAAGTTTGGAGACCCCTGATCTATAGGGAAAAAAAGCCATTTTGCAATTTAATCTTTGCAACAATTTTTGAGTGCCCAAACAAAAGTTGTTTTAATCTTTGAACAAATGCTATAAAAACAAGTTCTATATTATTTTTAATAATAAAGTTATAGTGTAATATAATTTATATTATTCATGTAAACAAATTTTCCTATTTTGAAAAAAAAAACAACTGCAACTTAGTAGTGACTATTTTAACCTTTTTGCGGGTAGCCTGTGGCTTAACACTTAGCCTAAACTTGAATGCCAATACCACTCATGCATGTGGTCTCAAAAAAGACAGACACAATCTAAAGTTATGTTGCACATTGTTCCAGATTCTCAAAAAAATTTTAAAGAACTCTAGAAGTAGTAGAAGATCCTAAAAGTTTGCTGACACCTAACATTTTTTTTTTAAATTAATTTTTAAAATATTTATTTTACAAAATTGGGCCTACTCCTGTTCGAACCAAAGTATTACCTTAGATAATGAGACATTACCTCCCTTTAAACAGACTCAGCAAGAAGGGGGGGATTCTTCTAACATTCCTTCAAGTTGGCGTAGTGATTTTATATCCCTCGTAGCACAGCTTAATTGTATAAACGAAAAAGACTGAACATTTTAAATACATTTTTTTCTGATTCCTAGCGGCAACTATTGTCACAAAATTTCAGAACTCCATCCTAAATATTAACGCCAGTGGTTCTAAATATAACCACACTTCCACAACATAAATATACCTCCAGGCCTAACGGCCTTATGAACCACCCTCTTATATCAACCTCATAAACCAATACATTTGACTATGATTCCCCAACCACCTTATATAGAGACCTACATGTTCTTTTATACTAGCTCAACCTCCCGAGTCTGGTACAAACAGATGTAAGTACATACATGGCTCGTAGACAGTTTTTTTTTCCAGGGACGAAACAACAAATATATACCTGATATAGAAAATATGGGCCTTCTCTCCTCTGGAAATTATTGATGCCCCCCCCCCCCCACCCTTCCCGGGGAGTTTAAAGAAACCTTGCTTGTAGTTGTAGATGTCAGAAATACCATGGAAATAAACCACCTTACTTCCCTTCCCCATACCCAACGGAAATACACCATCGTACATCCCCCATATTAGCCACCGATAACTATAATAATAAATGGAGTCGTAATTTTTAGCCGAAACGGGATTAACTCCCCTTTACGCTAGATCACTTCTAGAAATTCCACCACTCCCTTTTTTTCTCTTCTTCCTCCCGTACAACCCCATAATCCAGAGGCGTAGCGAGGGGGTGGGGGGGGGCGGACCGCACCGGGTGACACCATTTAGGGGGTTGACACCAAGGCAAAAAATAGCAAAATAGAGAAAAACTTGAGGTGGGGTGCAAATCGAAAGTTTGAGGGGGGGGGGAGGTGCAAATCGAAAGTTTGAGGGGGAGGGTGCAAATCAAAAGTTTGAGGGGGGGTGCAAATCGAAAGTTTGAAGGGGGGGGTGCAAATTGAAAGTTTGTCCCCGGAAAGGGTCGCTACACCTCTTGGGGGTGACACCATTAAGTGCCGCACCGGGTGACACCCGACCTCGCTACGCCACTGCCATAATCTCAATAGAAATGAAAACGTTTTAAAAAAATAATGAATAAAGATGCAATGTTAATGTTCTTAAACCACCCACGTTCCACCTGAAATAGTCGGTCCCAGCCTACACCCAACCCTACAAACGTAACGTGATTTATTGACCACATACTATGGACAATTCGTATGTTGTAGCCTACATAACACAATGAGTTTGTATACTTTTGTTTATGTAATGCATGGCTTGGGGTAGTAGAGATTTTTTTTACATAACTTTTGCATTGATTTTTAAAAACTATATTCTTATTTTTGCCTGTTTTCAAACACAGCATACGGCTCAGCAAATGCTTCAAATGAAATTTTTCTCAAGAAAATCGATTCTCTATAAAATGAAGCGATTCCCATAATTTGTTTGAAAAAAAAACGGTTATTTTTTTTAACCAAGTTCAACCGTGAATATGGGAATTTGGGGGGGGGGGGGGGGGTCGTAAAATGGATGTGTGATTTGGGGTGGCCTTGAAGTCTTACATAATGATATATGTGGAAACGGGTGGTAAAAAAAGTCATATTTTGTTATATGTGCATGATCCCATCCACATAGTTTCTTTAATTGTTCCATACTTACAACGGTGGGGGGCGGGGAAGGAATAGTGGGTTGGGTCGGGGGGGGGGGGGGTAGGACATCAGATATCAGAGCTTGCGTGATCTGTTTTCGGGGGGCGCTCTACCGGAGTGGGAATTTTAAGGATTTTAAAAAGCTATAACAAACTCTCAAGTTAACGAAATAATTCTTTGATAAAAAAAAAAAGTAAACGAAATCTGATCCGTGTTAATTTCTCGTTCAGCTTATAAAAAATTGGTTTTTTAGATAGAGTAAAAAAAATAGTTCACTAACGCCTGTGGAAGAATTAGAAAGAAGCATCTGGCTTCTGAGCCTTACATGGTTTCTTCTGCTAAAATAAATAGTCAATTTTGAGGGGTGGGGGGTGAGTGGTGGTACTCAATAATAACGTCATCTTATAAGGACAATTTTTATGATGGTTTGTTGACTCACTTTAGGGAAAGTAGAGTCGGCTGGGCAAAAGAACTGACCACACTGTCCCTTCAAGTAGAGGGGTCACGGAAACAGATGAACTCTACTTCACCTGCCCCATTGACCGCCAGATCCAAAGAGTAACTATGTTAACTATGGAAATGTTATAAAATAGTATATGGGTAGGAGTGGTTCAAACATCTGACTTTAGTGTGTTATATGTGTTATGTGCAAGATCCCTTCTGCAGGGGCGTAACGAGGGGGGGGGGTTGCGGACCGCACCGGGTGACATCATTTAGGGGGGTGACACCAAGGCAAAAAATAGCAAAATATATAGAGAAAAACTTGAGGGGGGTGGTGCAAATCGAAAACTTGAGGGGGGGTGCAAATCGAAAATTTGAAAGTTTGTCCCCGGGAAGGGTCGCTACGCCTCTGGGGGGGGGGGGGGGGGGTGACACCATTAAGTGCCGCACCGGGTGACACCCGACCTCGCTACGCCACTGCCCTTCTGTGATCTGATCCAATACATTCATAGACAGCCATTGCCCCTGGTGTAAAGATAAACGAAAAGCAAAAAACTCACAGAGTTATTTGTGTGGGAATAGCGGGGGAAATTAGCGTAAAACGTGCCTCTTTCAGATATTGGATACCTGGTATTATTTTAAAAAGAAGGTAATTTTTTTAGGCGTGGAATTGAAATTAGTTGAATCTGTATCGAACACGTTTAGAAATGTATTTTTGTCGTCGAAAATTGAAAAGTATTTATTTTATAATAATTTATTAAGAAAAAAAATGATAACGAATGTACATTTTAGTTGTTTTTTTTTAACAGAAAATAGTATGTGGGCTAATTATGTAGATCGGTACGCAGGTATTTGAACACAGGGGCTTTGACCATAGGTGCTTTGACCTAAGTGGTTTGTCCACAGCGGAACTTTGACCACATGGGATTTGTCTACATTGGGGGTTTTGCTCACTTGCGATTTGTCCATATATGGTAAGGATGAACTTAACATGGGTTAAAAAGTTGCGTAATCATATTTACGTTGAGGCATGATGTAATAATATGACTAGGAACCCTCACGGAGACAAGACAATACATGCTAATCCTCATGAAACATCGTATTGGGTATTCACCAGTTCAAGTAGTAGTACAAGTATTACTGCTACAAGCATTAGGCCTATGTGTTTATCAAGTTTGGCGCAGTTTAAAAATTAGTAGGGCTAAGTGTCAAACAAATGTATATCCAATCTAACAAATATTGTATCCAACAAATGTTGTATCCAACAAATGTTGTATCCAACAAATATTGTATCCAACAAATGTTGTATCCAACAAATGTTGTATCCAACAAATGTTGTACCCAACAAATGTTGTATCCAACAAATGTTGTATCCAAAAAATGTTGTATCCAAAAAAATGTTGTATCCAACAAATGTTGTATCCAACAAATATTGTATCCAACAAATGTTGTATCCAACAAATATTGTATCCAACAAATATTGTATCCAACAAATGTTGTATCCAAAAAATGTTGTATCCAAAAAATGTTGTATCCAACAAATGTTGTATCCAACAAATATTGTATCCAACAAATGTTGTATCCAACAAATGTTGTATCCAACAAATGTTGTATCCAACAAATATTGTATGCAACAAATATTGTATCCAACAAATATTGTATCAAACAAACCTTACTTAAACAACAAACAGTATGTGTCAAAAAATATTGTATGTAACAAACATTTTATCCTACAAGTATTGTATCCAACAAATATTTAATCCAACAAATATTATACAAACAACTAACGGTATGTATCAAACGAATGCTTTGTCCCTACCAAATGCACGTGAATTATATAATTACAAAAAAATGTCCGATCATTCTTTTCAAAATTTATTTTTAACCCGTTTCATCTGAGTCATGTAACGGAAATGGGGCTGAATTGATGAAAAACTTGGTCTGCCGGCAGGCGATCGTTGAGCATGATACATTTAATCCCTGCCTTCTTAAGGCGCTTCCTTTCTCGCAAGACAAAAGTATACAAGAGGAAATTAATAAAATATTGTTAGCGTAC